ACGAGGGGACAGCTTGTCCGTAGACAAGTCGCGAACAAACGCCCGAGATCCCCAGACACGGAACGCAGACGCATCGCCAACCTTCCCCGTCCACCTCAGAGCAGGGGAGGTCTCCGGCATGGAGACCCGGGGCTGAAGGTTGATCTGATGCGCCGCGTACTGAACCGCGAACGGCCATAGAAAATGGGGAGAAGCCGCATGGATCATGGACGTACGAGCGACGTCCATGACCATGCCAATGTGGCGCTCAGCAATCCCATTTTGCTGTGGAGAGGCCGGAAGCGTGAACATCTGGCGGATGCCTCGTGCACGACAGAAGGCTCGCAAAAGGTCGGAGGAAAACTCTCCGTCTCTGTGCAGACGCAGAACAGGAAAGTCCGAGCCGAAACTCTCTCTGAGCTGGAGACGAGCTGCGCGGATCCAGTCGATCAACACCTCAGTGACCTCACCCTTGCTGCACAAGGGGAAGACTGTGGTGTAACGCGAGTAGTCGTCAACCACCAGTAGGAAGTAACGCTCGTGACCCTGTCCACGGACGCGGGCTGGGCCCCACACGTCCATGTGAAGTGTCTGCAGCAGAGCCTCTGTCGGAGGAAACTCGGAGGAGTGAGTAGCGGCGCGCTGCCGCCCCTCGACGCAGGGAACGCAGGTAGGGGCAGGCCCCGGAGGAAGGGGAGGGAGGGACCGGGGGAGACCAGAAACAAGGACACGAGAGGCCATGCCTTAGAGACGAGGCACGGAGGGGTGACCAAGGCGGTGGTGCCAGAGGAGAGTCTGGTGAGACAGGAGACGACACGAGCAGGGGGCAGATTCAGGACCAGACCTGGACGCTGCAGCAAACAACTGACCCGACGCAGCTACCTGACCAGACTCAGTGACTGGGGGAGACTCAGTAGTCAGTGTGTACAGGCTCGACCCCGGCTGACGGGTAAACGTAGCCAAGTGTCGGCCCGTCCGAGCACACGTGCAGTGGGTCACTCGCTGACTCGCAGGAGTGAATTGGTCAACCCCTCTATCTTGCAGGTCAGCACCACTCACCAAGTTCGTAGAGAACGAGGGGAGGTAAAGACCTGACAGGAAGCCAGACGGGGCCGCCGGACACGGTAGCACAGTGGAGTAGTGAGCAAGGACAGGACCCCCAGAGGGGTCAGCCAGGGAGACCGCAACCGGCCGACTAAGCGGGAAGCACCCGAGTCAAGGGTGAAGGTGTGCAAGACCCCAGCAGGCGCAGCACCAAAGAGAGCAGACTCACCAGCACCTTGAGGAGGAGACTCACTAGCACCTAGAGCAGCAGCCTCACCGGCACCGACACCTAGAGCAGGAGACGTACGAGCATCTAGAGCAGCAGCCTCACCAGCACCTAGAGCAGCAGACTGGATACCGGGGTCAGGCGGCACCCACAGGTGACAGGCACCCTCAGCACTAGTACACAATGCATACATGGCAATGAGGATAGCATCATAGTCAAGAGCAAAGATATCTACCCTCTGCCTAAGCAGCTCCAACCAGGAGGGGAGCTCAGCGTCGTCGCCAAACTTTGTACGCCAAGCGTCGCTCAGATGGGCGAAGAAGCGGGACTCTGTGTGACCAGGAGTCCCGCAAGGCTGACCAGTCCAGACACCCGTGCGAATGACGTACGGGCGGCGAGCAGAACTCAGTGACCCTCCACTCTGAGCGTACCACTCGCGAAGCTGCTGGGGCAAAAGGGTCGCGCGCGGACGACGCTGCAGCTGCACCTGGCCACTACAAGAAGCTCCCGAACTACTCACTCTAGGACGACTCCCACCAGGGCCACCCCGACAACCCCGACTAGCGTACCACTCACGAAGCTGCTGGGGGAGGAGGGACTCACGCGGACGTCGCTGTAGCTGCAGCTGGCCACCGCCAGGAGTAGCAGTAGCAGTAGTAGCTGCAGTAGCAGCAGTAGCAGTAGTAGCAGTAGTAGCCGCAGTAGCAGCAGTAGCAGCAGTAGCAGTAGTAGCAGCGGGGCCACCCCTATAACCCCAGCTAGCGTACCACTCACGAAGCTGTTGGCGCGTGAGGGACTCACGCGGACGGCGCTGGAGCTGCATCTGGCCACGCCAGGAGCAGCAGTAGTAGGAGAAAGAGCAGTAGCAGCAGGAGCAGTAGTAACAGCAGTACAGGCAGGGCAGTGCTCACCAGTGGCGAGAAGGCAGGCGCACGACGGAGGCGACTGCGGGGCTGCTACAGCGGCAGGGCGGCGCCGCGACTGCGGCAGGAAGCTCTGCGGTTGTGCAGGGCAGGGACAGGGCTGCGACGGTTGCTGTTGCAGGGGCGGCTGCTCCTGGGTGCAGGGGCGGCTCCTGCAGTGGCGGCTGCTCCAGTGGCGGCTGCTCCAGTGGCGGCCGCTCCAGGGGCCAGGGGCGACTGCAGGTGCGGCTGCTCCAGGGGCCATTGGCGGCTGCTCCAGGGGCCCGGCGCGGGGTAGGGCAGGGCGATGCGGCGGGCAGGGGCGACGCCTCGGGCAGGGGCGACGCGGCGGGCAGGGCGATGCAGCGGGCAGGGGCGACGTCGCGGGCAGGGGCGACGTCGCGGGCAGGGGCGACGCGGCGGGCAGGGGCGAAGTCGCAGGTAGGGGCGACGTCGCGAGCAGGGACGACGTCGTGGGCAGGGGCGACGTCGCGGGCAGGGGCGACGTCGCGGGCAGGGGCGACGTCGCGGGCAGGGGCGACGTCGCGGGCAGGGGAGACGCGGCGGGGATAAGGCGGGGCCGCGATCGCGGCCTGACGGGGCTGCGACTGCGACCTTACGGGGCCGCGACTGCGGCCTGACTGGGCCGGGACCGGGACCTGACGGGGTCGCGCGCAGTCTGACGGGCCTGCAGAGGCTCCGTGCGGGCGGCGAGGGCCTGCAGGGGCGGCGCGCGGTCGGCGTGGTCCTGCAGGGGCAGCGCGCCGACCTGACGGGCCTGCAGGGGCGGCTCTCGGGCCTGACGGGCCTGCAGAGGCGGCTCGGGGGGGCCTGACGGACCTGCAGGGGCGGCTCGAGTGCCTGACGGGCCTGCAGAGGAGGCTCGGGGGCGTGACGGACTTGCAGGGGCGGCTCGAGGGCCTGACGGACCTGCAGGGGCGGCTCGAGGGCCTTACTAGCTTGCAGGGGCGGCACACTGGCCTAGGGCAGTAGGAGGCAGCGCAGGCAGAACGAAGGGCGGGGCGCGCGAGGGCGCACTCGCAGAGAAAGGCGCACGAGGGCGCATGGAAGGTAGGGCGCACGAGGGCGCTTCTAGCGGAATAGTGGGCCCGTAGTAGTAAGCGGTCCTAGGTGGCAACCTAGGCTTGTGATACCATGTTAGAATAACGAGGAATGATTGCATTGAGCAGCATGAGGAGTACAAGTACCAAACCCTTAAGTGTTGTACCCCATATGAGCTACCCCACTACAGCCTACACAGACTATAACATATAAGTTTGACAGTCCGGGGGTTGAGTACTCCGGTCGCCCAGCGAGCCTGCTGCTGCCAGTCGCCCGTGGGTCTATTGCTCCTGCTGCTGTTTAGCGCGGAGCCAGTTACTCCTGTAGTCCAGAGGTTAAGTGCTCCGGTAGCCACTGTGCGAGCCGTTCCTGTTGCCCTTGTGTCTGCGGCTTCCCTCGACGCCTCCTATCTCCACTCCTCTCACAGTTCCTCCTCCTCCTCACTTGCCCTCTGTGACTGCCTCTAGCTTTGCTTGTATTTGTGAACCTACTGCTCTGCCTGCTTGCCGTGCTGATTCTACCCCACTTTGACTATGGGGGTGTGTCATAATGTGATATTTGTCTAGCATGCAGTGGGGTAATCTATAGCGAGTACAGCCCGAATTAGGGTTTGCTATATGTACTCAACTGCCTGTTAGTGAAAACCCCTCTTTCCTGTTTCTAACTTTTGCCTAGCTATTTCGATACGAACGAGGACCAACAAGGAGAAGCAAGGAGCAACGAGGAGCGAGGAGCAGCGAGCAGCTTCACTCCTTGCTTCCCCTCCTTCCCTTTCTCAAGAGGTGGAGCAACAACTGCAGCAGCAGCACATGGTTACCGATAGGAGCGTTAGATCAGATCGATCTGAGCGTTAGATCAGATCAGCCACAGACTGGACAGAGGAGGGCGGTGTGGGCTGGGTGGGTGGGCGATGGGGACGCGACGCGACGGGGTCGGTTGGGTTTCCTCCTCTTTTCTCCAGTCACTTTTTGTGGCTCACCGCATCAACCTGACAACCTGACAACAGAGAAGCTACCGTACTTCAAGCTCAGAGGTGTTCCCTGCCCTCTGGCATTACTCTAATCCTAACCGTCCCTCCTCTTTGTTCTACTGTTTCTTCTCCCACGCATCCCTCCCCTCCTTTGCAGGTTTCCCTAACGAAGGACCTCCACCTCATCGCGGTGTTAGGGTGAACGCTAGAGGCTTGTCCTCTAGCGGCCAAGAGGGGTCCATTCAAGATTGAAGTTCCAAGGTCCAAGATTGAAGACTTTACTGTCGAACTAGAATTTCCTGAAGATGCGATGTATTTTCAATACATGACTTCATTATACTATTAAATTAAGTTTCGGTTCAGTTGTTTAACTCTAAGATTTTGACGCAAATGTGACTTCAAGAGCATTCGTGGTTGATAAAGTACACGAAACAAAACCAGAAATCTTCAGTCAGGGGGTTTGGCATGGTAGGGCAAAGATGAAAGTAGCCCAAGACCTCAATTGCTCAACGCAAGTCAACGCGGGGCAAAACTGTGGGCTGCGGGAGGCAAACTGTGCACAGTTTGCCTTCGTTGTTTGTATTTCGGGTCTTGGGGGGCTGGTCATGGTTATTTCAAGCAGTGCAGTGAGCTGTAGCAACTAACTCCAATTCTTGCAGATTCGCTATCAGGAAGCAGGAAGGTTTTCAAGTCAAAATGTCATACAAAAGCCAATAGCTGTCACCTTCCTTCTGATTCATAACAATTTCAGAAGCTTCAAATCAGAATTTGTTTGCGAGCCCGTTCCCTAACCCTAATCTACTAATCTCCTACCCTGTCATTGCATATAATTCGGCGGCAGCACCGGGTGCGACGGGCTTTTATACAGCGATGGGTGGACAAATGGGATGAGAGCAAGAGTGATAGCATGCTCGTAGTACGTCTGACGTGTGATCTCCCCATTGGTCAGATACCCCACTGTGCCCCCTCGGGATTTGCTGCCCTCTTGCCTGAAAGCCTCATCTGTTGCTTCTCCCAGCTCCATGCCCCCTGCAGCGTGCCAACAACGAGGGGGATAGAAACGAGGAAGGGGTAATAAGGATGGCAGTGGTAAGGAGGAGCCAATTGAACAAGCATGGTGCAAGGAAGCAGGTATGGTTGAATGGGAGGGCGAGTAGTAGCTTGTAAATAGTCCCTGAACTCACTCTGCAGACTCACCAACTCTGCAGACTCACCAACTCTGCACCAGAACCCCAATGCCCCCTCTACCACGCAGAGCTCACACCCGACCCACACGGTCCGCACCCTTCCCTCGTGACCCACTTCCCTCGTGACCCACTTCCCTTCCATACTTTCCCCTTCCATACTTTCCCCTTCCATACTTTCCCCTTCCATACTTTCCCCTTCCATACTTTCCCCTTCCATACTTTCCCCTTCCATACTTTCCCCTTCCATACTTTCCCCTTCCATACTCTCCCCTTCCATACTTTCCCCCTACCCTTCCGCCCACCCCTTCTAAAATGTCCTTTGTTTCTTTTTCTCTTCCCTCAGTAACCCCATCCTTGCCTCCCACCTTCACCTTCTCCCTCACCCCCTTACCCCGCCTCCCCAGCCACTCTTTTCCCTTCCCCTCCTGCACGTTCCCACTTCCCCCCTTCCCCACAACACCCCCCTCCTCCACGCCCCCCCTTACCCCCCCCCCCCCCCCCCCCCCCTCCTTCTCCTCCCCCCCCCCTCCCCCCACCTTGCACCAGTTCCGCCAGTGGTGGCGGAAGCATGAACGCGGCCGTCCGCGCTCTCGTCTCCCCCGAAATCGCGTTCCCTCCGCCTCCCGCTAAGCTTTCCCCCGCACCTCTCCCCCCATTTACTCCCCCAAGCGCCGCGCCTCCTCTCCTCCCCGCCAACCCTTCCCCGCCCCCGCCCCCTGTCGCTTCCCCCACTCCCCTCCCCTGCTGCTGTCTCCCGTTCCCCGCTCCGGGAGCCGCGCCTCCGCCCTCCCCGCTTCCGCCCACCACCGCGCCGTCCGCTTCCGCCTCGTCTTCCGCGCGCGCGGACGTGGAGAGTACGACAGCCCATGCGAAGCACATGAGCTGCGGGGGATCGGAGAACCGACACCACTCCACTCCCCCCTCGATCGCAACCACGAAATCCGCGCCTTCCGCCGCGCTGCTGCGCGCCACGTGCAGCAGGCGGTTCCGCGCGCCCGTGAGAGTCTCCGCGTCGCCCATCGGCTGGTCCGACACGCCCGAGTCGGCCGGAAAGCCCTCTAATTCGAACGACTCGTGGGGGAACAGCCGCCGGAGCGCCTCCCCCGCGGCGTTAATCTTTACCGGGTTTCTAGAAGCTACGACCACGCGTCGCCTACTGTTCCACGCGCCGTCGGAGCTATTCTCCCCGCACGACGCGATCTCCGCGCGCCCGTCCCCGCGGCATGCTTGCGCCTGCGCGCGGTTCCTTCCGCCAGGGGAATGGTGCGGTTGGAGCGACACGCGCGCGGAGGATTGGTGATGCGCCGCGACGCGCGACGGGAATATGGCGTCGTAGGACATTAAGAGGGAGCGCGAAGGGTGACTGCTGGTTCTAAGACGTATCAAAACTAGATCGGCGTGACTGTGGCTACTACGGGCTCGCTCCAGCGGTGGCGGCGGGTCGATCAGGGTCGTGTCGACAGAGTTGATTCGTTAGTGGCACAACAGCGTACGGGGAAATTCCATGCGGTGAATCAAGCCGTCAAACCAGACACATCTGGTGACAAAAAAGAGAAACAAGTTATCACTCACAGCTAAAAAAAATGCCACTGTTCGCGCTTCAGAAATGGCTTGCGTTGCCGTTGGCTGTGTGCGACAGACCAAGCTGGTCAACTTACGTGTGGGTACGTGCGACGGAGCATCCCTGTCAGTTGGTTGGGAGCGATCACAGAACAATGCGTCGCAGACTGACAGACAGTTGTCGCAGCACGGGATGAGCCGCAAGCGGAGTTGTCGCACAATGACGTGCTGGGCGGTTTTGGCGCAAAGCCCCATGCGAGAGGTGATGCGGGGACGTGATGTAAAAGGATTCGCTTCAGTAAAAAAGCAGCTGACACCGAAGTTTCATTTCACATTGTTCAATTTAAAAAGAGCTAGCTGATTGAATTTCACATTGTGATTTGTCTAGTCATCAAGCAGAGATGTACATAGCAGTTCACACATTTACTGCACAATCCACTCATGAGGCTCTCCTCTGCATAGCCTGCAAGATCTCCTGCAAGTCGTCATCGTCATCATCTGACATGGCACTCTCTTCCTCAACCTTGTCCCTCCCTCTTCCCATACCTACCACCCCTCTTCCTATACCACTCCTCATGCCAACCCCTCCTGAACCGTCCATCATCTGACTTCTACCTTCACTCGCCCCACACTTCACATCCTGAACCTGATCACTGTCACCAAATAAATCCCCATCCCCCATCCCCACTCCAGCACCCACCCCTACCCCCTCATCCTCGTCGTCATCATCAGAATCACCATCTTCCACCACTAGAGCTGTTACTGTTGACGCTCCTGCTGCGATTGCCACAGGAACCGCCAATGCTGCAGATGAAACTGGCACCGCTGCCTTTGCTGCCCCTCCTCCATCGAATCGGCTATGCCCCACACTTCCCCTCCCTGCACCCCCCCCTCCTCCACCTCCTGACTGTCTCGAGTAACTTTCCACGCTTCTTGTTCTGGATAGCTTCTGCTCTTGCGCTTTGATGTGCGCCACTGCTGCAATTGCCGCGCCACCAGGAGAAACACCAGTACCAGCAGCACCTGCACCAACACCTGCACCGGCGGCGACAGACGTGCCGCAGCCGCTGAAGGTTCTGCCAAGCCGTTTGGGCAGTTGGGAAACATTCTCTGAGGGCCCAAATAGGTCCTCATCCACTGCTGTTCCACCTGCGGCAGCAACACTGCTGCTACCAACACCAACTCCAGCTCCGGCGGGAGCAGCAGCAGCAACAGCAGCGTCATCATCGTCATCATCAGAGTCTCCATTATCCGCCCCAAACAAATCCTCGTCCACTGCCCCGCCCTCCCCACCCATTGATCCAAACAAATCCGCATCAACCCCCATGCCCTCCCCTCCCCCCACCGCACCCGCCTCCTTGCAGCTCCCCCCTCTCCTCCCCTCCTCCAGACCCCGTTTTCCCCCAGGCAGAGGGGGGCTGCCCCCGCTCCCGTCCCTCCCCCCACCCACCCCGTGCATGCCCTTATCCGAGTGGCACCTAGCAGGAGCTCTTAAAGCGTTGTGAAGCATCTCTGCCTGGCGGCTGGAGAGAGAGTGGCAACCCATACCACCCGGACCTCCACCCGCTCCCGGACCTAGTCCCGAACCAGCCTGACTGTTACCGCCGGTGCTGGTGGAATGGAGAGGCGAGGGGGACGAGGCACACGCGCCACTGCTACCGCCAGTGCCAGCGCCGGCAGCGACAAGGTGGGCCCTGACTGTGTCTCCTGATCTGCTCCTTAGTAAAGGCGGCTTCACAGCTTCTTCTATCAGCATTGCGGTTTTCCCCACCGCTGCTACTGGGCTGCTATGCCCGCCGTGCGCGCTGTGTCCCCCGGCCTTGCTTGCTACAGCCGCTACAGCCGCTGCTGCTGCAGCTGACATCCCTCCTTTCCCTGAGTGACCCCCTACCCCACCTGCGCCCAATGCTGCCCCCCCAACACCCCCGCTTTTGCTACCATGCGCGGAAGGGACAGGAGGAGTCCCGCCCCTGCTTCTTCCCCCTAACCCCCCTGGTCCAGGCTTCGTTTCCCCCCCACTTCCGCCTGCGCCGCCACCCCCTGATCCCGATCCTACCCCGCAGCCTCCCCCGCTTGCTCCGCTTCCGCTGCCGCTATTCCCGCTACCTCCCACTGGCAGTGCCCCCTCGTTTCGTCCACGTGACTTTGACTTGGTTAGCTGCTTGTACTGTGAAAGAAATTCTTCGTCCGAGTCACTACCTTCCCCGTCCTCCGCGCCTTCCTCCCCCGCGCCGTGACCTGCCTTCGGCGGAGATCCGCCGCCTCCCGCTACACCTCCACCTGCCGCGGATTTTCCCCCCAGCGGAGCAGCAAGCGGAGTGGGCGAGCCCGGGTCATGCGGGGGCGCATCCATTCCACCGCCGCCGCCGCCGCCAGCAACCGGCGCAGCGAGCGGAGTGGGAGATCCAGGATCATGCGGGGAAGCTTCCGTTACTGCCGCTGTGGAAATTGGAGTTGGCGTGCGCGCAACAGGCGCAGCAAGGGGAGTCGGGGATCCAGGATCGACCGCCTGCGCGGGCGCACCAGCGGAAGCACCCCCAGATGAACTCCGCGGAGCCGCAAGAGGCGCTGCTAGCGGAGTAGGCGAGCCGGGGTCATGCGGCGGAATCTCCGCAGACCCGCCTCCTGCATCTAGCGCGGACGCCGTAGGCGCGGAAACCGGCGCGCCGAGAGGAGCAGCGAGCGGAGTGGGGGAGGGGAGGTCAAAGTCGGAAGCCGCCGGTTCCGCCAACCCAACACCGGTTTGCACGGTCAGTTGCTTCTTGGGACCACCCGAGGCGCCTCCCATCGGCACTCCGTCTTTAGACTGAGAGTTCATGCTGCGTGTATTGGGATGCGCCTTGGAATGTGGAGCGTGAGAATGCGGCCTGGAGTGATTAGTGCTTGTAGCAGCAGCAGTAGTAGTGCCAAGACAAGTATTATGACCATGACCGTGACTCCCGTCTGTTACGCGACGATCGGGACCGCCGCTTTCCTCACCCATACCCCGAGCCTGCTGCGTAGGTCTGGCACCGTGCCTACCTCCAGGTCCGACGGCGCGAGGCTCGGCATGCATCGGGCCGCCTCGACCTCGACCCCTCCCGCGTGCTCCGCCGCAATCCTCGGTGGCGACGTGTCCATCGCGCCTCGGAGCTGGTTTCGGAGCGGTTACTCGTTGACCCCGCCGAGCCTGGCTATTGCCGGACGGGGTATCAGGATAAAGCTCCTCTTCCGCCGATGCTGTAGAAAATCGGTTATTTGAGGAGGAGATTGGAGTGGCTACTGGAGCATCGTCGTCAATAATTGGATGCTGGTCGGTTTGAGAGAGGTTTGCCGGTCGTCGGTACGGGGATGCTGAACCAGCAACCACGGGAGAGCCATTGGCGACGGCCGGCTTTCGGCAAGACGGATTTGGGGATCCGAGATGTGCTGTTCTGTTAGGATTCATGACGACTAACGCGGAATACTAGCGAGTGAACAGATAAATAAGCGGTAGTACCTAGTCCATCAAGGTTAGTGATTGAATAAAAGAAATCTACGACATATTTCAGTCATCGTGACTCACAGTACTTACTAGCTGATCTAGGAGACTAGGAGATGCATTCTTTAGCCTCTAAGAGCTAGTGGTTCAGTCAGGCAGCCCCAAGGCTCATAGCATGGCAGGTGAGAACGGTGACGTGGCGAGCTATGTACAAACCTTGGCCAGTACAGTTGCACAGTTCACCACCAAACCCAACCAACCACCCCCTGAATAGATAAGGTTCTGACGGTAACTGACTTTCTGACGGACACTGATTTACACTAGTAGTACAGTTAACTGACCGAGTGCACTACCCGGCCCGGGAGGGGAAGGGAACTTCGTCCCCAAGCCTCGTCCATTCGTCAGTTCACTTCCGAATTGGTTTCGCGTTGCCCGTGGCTTCATCAGGCGGAACGAGCCGAGTTGGTTGGGAAAATATTGACGGCATCCTCTGGGCGTGTAATTTTTTCCAATTCTGCCCGTCCGGACGGCCCATCGTCCAGACTTTTTTAGGGTTACTGATGTCGTGAGTGTTCGCTTTGTCTTTGATTCGTCTACGGATTCTGCCGAAACTGGTAGCCCTAAAAAGGTGAGGACGGTGGGCCGTCCGGACGGTCAGAAAGAGAAAAAGTTACACGCCCGGCTTGGGAGCTGATTCGGTAACTAGCCTTGCGGAATGGGTCTGGAGGTTTCTGGTGGGATAGTTGGCAATCGAGAAGTTACCTTGCACGACAAATAGATTCGCTCAACACACTTTCAGAAAGTTTGTGACTAAAGGAATCTGAGATCAGCAAGTTTTGCTTTGCATACCCATCACATAAAAAATGCCTGAATGCATGAAGTACTTTGTATACCTAAAGTAACGAGTTATTGGATCTACATCAAAAGAAAGTCAGAAGATATGAAGTCAATGTTGGAGCTGAAGCTCACTCTCCTCCTATGCGTTGGCCTCGTTGCCTTAGGTGTACAGCTCGTGGGATTAGAGGATTCTGTTCCCTCCGGGCTCCATGATTGGCGGTTCCCAGATTTATTTAGGAGTCCGGCCATATCTAAGCTAGTTGTCCGCCACATTTGTTCACCAAAACGCGCTCTGACTGCTGCCTCACCACGATGTTCAACTTGTGATCTATGCAGCCTCTGATGCTGCTGATGCTGCTGCTGTGGCTGCTGGTGCTGTTGCTGTGGTTTGATTGTACAAACCTCCCGACACGGCTGCTCCCTCAAATAGAGCCCCCCTTGTCCTGTCCCTCTTGCCTTAACCCTCGACTCCTGCATTTCCTCGTCCCCCCCTGGCCCTTGCTCCTCCTGAACCACCACCTCCTCCATTCTCTGCCATTCCTTCGCCTGCGCCGCCCCGTGCTGCTTCACCTGCTCCTGCTGCAGCAGGTGCTCCGTTTGTAGCTGCTTCAATTGCTCCTGTAGCGCATCCACCTGTGCCTGTAGCTCCTCATTTGAAAAGTTTCGCCTACGCCTGAGCATCTGCTCCGTGCCCTGTGTCCTCCTCCTCTGCTGCTGCGAGGGTGGCGAGTCAACCATGCAATCTTCCTGCTGCTGCTGCCGATGCAGCTGCAGCGAAGGCGGCGGCTGCTGCTGCTGCCACCGCAACTGCACACACTCTCCATCCTTCATATCTAGCTCTGCATGGCCCTCCTCCCCTGTCCGCTGTTCCTCTCTCTCAGCCGTTGTCACCTTCCGCACGGCGTTACACTGCTGCTGCTGCTGCTGCTGGCGCGTGAATCGTGGCGAAGCGAGCACTCCACTGAAGGGGGAGGAGGCCACAGCGACCTGAACGCCATGGCTGTCCGCCCACTGGCGCTCGCTCCGACAAGGCCTTGAGTCCGTGCGGGGAGACGGCAGCGACTTTTGGGGAGCCAGCGGGGAATTCTGCGTGGACTCAGAAATCAGCGACTGGCGCTCGCTCCAGAAAGGCTTCGTGCCCGTGCAGGGAGACAGCAGCGACTTATGGGGCGACAGCGGGGAATTCTGCGTCAACTCATTAATCTGCGACTGGCACTCGTTCCGACAGGGCTTTGAGTGTAAGTTTGTGCGAGGCGACAGCAGCGACTTTTGGGGCGCCAGTGGCAGCGAATTTTGGGGCGCCAGTGGCGACTTTTGACCTGACTCTAAAACCTGCCACTGGCGCTCGCTGGCCTCCGCGCGCTCCGCATCTAGGTCCATGGAGCGCGACGCCCTGCGCCGGGGGGTTACCGCGCACGCGCCTTCCGCGTCGTCCGCGCGTGTCCCGTCGCTCAGAACCTCCGCGTCCTCCGGAACGCTGCGAATGGGGAACTGGTCGGAAAATCTCCGCGCGCGCGCGCCGCGCGCTTCCACTGCTTGCTGTGATTTCCCAGACGCGCTGAACGGCCCGGGCGCGCTGCTTCCGGGCAGCGCGCGGCTGCCCCTCCCGCTGACCACGCTGGCGCGCGCGCAGAGCGCGCTGTTGGCGGCGGCGATTGCTGCGGCGGCGGCGGCGCGCTGCTTGGCGGCGACCCCGTAAAGCTGCACGAACTCGTCGTCGGAATCGGAGGAATCGGAGGAGTCGGAAGAATAATCTTTTAACGCCGTCGAGAGCTCGTCGCTGGACGACTGTCGCCGCGGTGGTCGGAACTTCACCGTCGCGTCGCCGCCCGTGACCACCGCGGCTGCCGGCCCAACACGCGTCTTGTCCACTGCCGCGCTTTGCGAAACGTTTTGGAAGCAACTCGCGGACCGGCTTCGCGGAAACGAAGTTTTAGCAGGGAAACGCTCTGGCACGAAATTCGCGGACTTCGCGAGATTTCCGGTAACTTGTCTGTGGCAGACTTTGCTCGGCATGGATCGCCTTGACGACGCGGTAGCGGAATCCGCGCGTCTTGGAATATTGTCATCAGGCATACTAACAGCGCTTCGAGCAGCAGCAGCAGCGGCAGCGGGAAGAGCTGGGGCAGCTCTGGCGCGGGGTGATACGACTGGCGGCCCGCCGGAGCACGGCTTGAGGCTCCCGCAATCCGCGGCGTACCCAGCGGTGGCAGCGGCATTGCCGTCGCAAGACGCGCTTCTGAACATCCTCTCCCCTTGCGGCGGCGCAACGGCACCCAAAGGCCTTGGTGAGAGCGGGGCACGGGGAACGATTCCACCTCGGTCGCGCTCCCCGCGCCGCACGACCACGACCTCCGTCCGCTGCAAAGCCGGCGGGTCGGAGCTTCCGCCTGAGCTTCCGCCGGAGTCGCTTCCGCCGGAACCGCTTCCACCGGAACTCCCGCCACTCCTCGGGGGAATATTTCTGGTGAGGGGATGCGGACCCGAGCTCCCGCCGCCGCGCTCCTGCCAGCCGTTACTGCTAGCGGCGGCGGCGGAGGCAATAGCGCCGTTACTGATGGAGTGGCTGCGGGGAAGGCGCGACACGGCGTGGTCCTCCTGCGCGCCGCAGTGCCACGTGGTGTGGTTCGGCGCGGGAGGCGCGGAGACGGGGCCGGGGGAATACATGACAGCGGCGGAGGCGGAGCGCGGGGAGGGGGAGAAGGGGGAAGCGGAAGAACCGCAGAAGATATCGGGGCTGGCGGAGGAAGAGGAAGCGGCGGAAAGTGGCGGGGAGAATGGATTGCTCGGGGAGGGGCCGCAACTGACGGAATCGCCTCTGGTGTTACTACTGTGATAACCGTAGACCTTGGTAAAATCTGGGAGGGACGGCGTTTTAAGTGTGATGCTTAGAGGGCGAGACGGGCGTCGACGAGGGACGAAAGCCGATGACCCTGCGTGTTTGACTGAGAGACTACTGTCGGCGCCGCCGCCTCCGCCGCCCCCGCCGCCCCTCCCGCTGCGGCCGCCGGGGGAAGGAGACATCGAGAACGGGCCTCCTTGGGAATTTGGGTTCTTCGAAGCGTCGCGAGGAGACGGAGTGCTCGCGGGAAAGTCGGCCATTATAATTCCTTCTCCGCCGCGGCTCGTCGAGATTCCTAGCCGCTAGGGGAGTCGGTCGTGGTGATCGACTCAGGGTCGGAGTCCCAAACGGGGCTTTTACTAAGTAACTAGCTTCAAGATGAGCTGGCTGATTTATCTCTAGTGTAGCTGCAAACTGATGGAGTAATGCAAATCGCGATGGAATGGAAGAGATGGAGACCCGTGAGGTTCGGAGATTCGACGGCTCCTCTATTCTCTCTGCCGCGATGAAGGCGCTTTTTCAACGGACAAGCTAATCTCCTTGTCGCAGTGAATGGACGGACACTGTTTAAACGGACGAGCTATTCTCCGACGTCCGTTTTCTCCTTTGAGAAGACGAGAACATGCCACCGCGCAGAAGTATCCAATCCTGCCTCCAGGGTATGCCGCAAGCTGGCAAGCGCGTGTTGGTTGTGGCTCGTAGAGTATCTAGCGAGCTGAGCCACCAAGGCTTCATGTCGGGGGAATAATTTATGTGACGCTGCTGAAATGTCGCATTGCGAATGACCTGCGAGAATCATTTTCCTGGCAGAGCGACGTCCCGTAAAAATCTTGCGAATCGCGAAAGCCTGATGCGCTTGCGGTCACGTGCATGCACATTGCGCACATTAGCGGTTCTTTGGATCCGTATGTGGAATTCGTAGAGGAAATGACGGACCGCCGTGTTTGCGCGTTTTCGATTCCTTTCGGCAGTGGCTTTGACAGCGACTCCCACCGCGCTTGCGCCCAATTCCCGCGGTCAGTTTATATTGCTGTTTCCCGTTTTTCATGACCAAACGTATAGAAGGGCAAATATTAAGATTACCTGGGTTCAGTATAGAGGCCAGTGGAAAAACTATAACCCACTCGGATGACAAGCCATCTGGGAGGCATCAACCCTAAACACCTTGCCTCATGGTGTTTAGGGTTGATGCTCTCTTCGTGGCATACCATCCATGAGGGTTATATTTTTTTTGTCCCGAGCTGAGCGTTTGCCATGGACTCGACGAATATATTTTTAATACCCCGTAATCTAAACAAAACTTGTATTTGTGGACTAAAAAGGGAAAACTTAGAAATAATATGCCCCAAGGTATTGGACGCGAGCGCAGAGCGATGCGCTGTCAAAACCACTGCCCATTGGAATTCAAAATTTTGAAAACACGGCGCTCTGTCATTTCCTCGGAATTCGTATGAACGCTGGCGGGCAGAAGGCTCCTAGGGAGTTGCTGGGTTTGATGGGCTGTCTACGGCGGTATCTCTCAGTGGAAAACCCTAAATCCATGCCTCCCCGTGTTTAGGGTTGATGCCTCCCTGACCAGATGCATGCCCTTCTGGGGTTGATTTTTTTTGCCCGCGGGCAGCTGGGATATATTGGGATATTTAGCTTAGTGTGCGATATTTAGCGTGTGGCTATGTTTAGTGTGCGATTTTCCTTAGTATTTTACCTAAACCGCACTAACTCTGCGGCCGAAGGCCTCGTATGTGAGAGGTTTTCAAGTGACGAGTTGCAATCGCGATGTACTACAGTTCCGTACTTCACGAATTTACGACACCGCACGCCCGGGTGGAAGAGGGGGGGACGACCAAAGTGGAGAGCCAGGTTATTTCTCGGAAGTAAATTTGCCCACAAACTGTGTTAAGAATATCGAGGTGCTACTATCCAGGGAAGCAACAAGGCCCATGATGATTGGCTGAGCGTATCGAATCGCACAGCTGTCTCAGCCATGAGGAGACAGCACAAATTACGCTGCTGGAAGGTTCAGCTTGTTGTGAGTCGTGACGTGACTTGTCAGGCTGACTGTCGGTTGGTGGTGGAGGTCATGGAAATCCCAGGGCAGCAAATCAGGGGGGAGGGAATGGGGTGGAAGGTGGGTGTGGGTGGGGTAGAGTTGGAAGAGGGGTCCGTGGGGGGCGGGGAGGGGTTTGGAAGGGCGAAAAGAGTTTCGGGGGATCGAGGGGCGGTGGTGGTGGTGCGGTGCGCTGTGGCTGGGCATGTAGCCATTTCGCGCGCGGGCACACAACAATGACCGCCTCGCTTCATCCGCGTTATGCGAAGGCTATTATACGAAATTTTATGGCATAGAATTAAAGTTGTAGGGGAGACTAGAATTCACATCAAATCTGCTTCTGCTCATAAGCTTCTCCGTTACACACGTTACCTTCCCTTCCTCGTGCACGGATCTTTACTGTACATTGTCCACAGCATGCCTCCAGGGAAACCAAAACTTCCGCAACCCCATCAATACTCCTGATGCCTGTTTGAGCCCCTCCCGGTTGCCTTGTGAAGGGGGCATATAAGCTGTATCGTGCGTTTCGCATAGGTTCGTCAGTTTCGCAGCTAGCTAAAAAGAATTCGCATGTGCTTATAAACAAGACCCTGCTACCTAGTTACCTAGTTTGACTTCAGTCTCTTCTGCTTGACTTCGGTCTCTTCTGCTTGACGCGCTTGTAATGTGGGTGCATGAAGCTGGGGAAACAACCTCGGGTGCAGCGTGTCCATCCGGCGCATGGCGAATTCGCGCGCATGGGGTGAGCATCAGGTGTATATACTGTACAGTATCGTCAACGCGTTAAGAGTTCTCCGCGGTTGTTGATCTGATCTGATCTCCTTTCCGTGGTATTTCCAGCTCAAGAAAGGACATGAACACGTCACCTCACGGTATGCTGTATAATATTTGTAGTTTTCAGCTGTGCAGTGACGTGGCAAACATCTCAAAGCATTCGATTGCTGTACTGTTTCCAAAGTTGTCCACGCAGCTTCGTTGTTCGTTTCCTCCACCCACTTCGTGATTGCTGCATGTTTTCTCGATCTTTGATTCGATGGTCCAAGCAGCCAGCAGCCTTTCCTCCAAAAACTGTTTATCCTAGCTGCCCTAAACAGAATTTACAGTCGGCCTAAACTTGTTTGTCGACGGATTCCACAGGCTTTCTGGATAAAAAGACATTCAAAAAGCCGTTTTCCACCTCTTCCCCTTCCCAGCCACTTCACCCGCTCTCACCAGCACCAAGTTTTCTGAGAGCAAGCGACGAATTGAGCCACCGTATCTGCTGGAAGGAGTTGCTCACAAGAGACGACACGCCACAAGTGGGGCGCCAGGCGATTCAATCAACAGGTTTCTTGGGCACCAGCCAAGGCAAGGACCACCACCATTTCATCCATCCCATTCCATTCCACTCGCCCATTCCGATCCATCCCATCCCAATCTCATTCTAACCCATCCCAAACCTATTCCGTCCCATCCAATCCCAACCTCATCCCATCCCACAAACCCATGCTATGGTGATGCCATCCCGTCCGCTCATCACAGCTATGAATGCTGCTGGTCTCGTCTAGTCTTGTCGCAACTGCTCCGCTCCGCCCGCAATGGGTGCGCGCGGTGCACTACAGTAGCACCGCCAAACTTGATCAAGGACAGCCGCGTAGGCCACCCCCTCCGATTCCACAACCTCACTCTCTGCTTACTCCTCATCTCGCTGTCAACTTCGCTTCACATCACACCCTCCAGCAGCTTGGATAAGACCCCTATCTCACTCCATCCTGCCACCACTTCTCAGTTCCCTGCAGAGCTGGCCAGTTGTCACTCTCACTCCTTCCCAGACTACCCATCGCTCTCAATCAGCTGTGTCCTCCTTGACTTCGTTCCGAACCCCGCACTCACAAACGGAGCACGGAATTCTAGACGCTTCAACGCAGGCAACGAAGAAGCGACCATCGTCGCAGTACGCGAACTGAAATTCGTGCTGTTTTTCGAAGCCACAATTTCCGCAATGGCCGCCGCTTCGTGCGAAGACGACACCATTCTACTACTTCTACAAGACGGCGGAGTGCGCATGTTCTCCGCCGCGCGCGCTGGCGATCCGCCCCTCCTCGTCTCCGACGTTCTCGCGGAGTTCCCCAATTGCCGCGTCTGCCGCCTCGACTCCCCCTCCTCTTCCCCGGGACGCCCCCCCTGCCTTTCCCCGCACGCCGCGCTCCGAGCCGGCACGACGTACTTCCTCGTCGAACCAATAATGACTCACAAGGTTGACCCTGGGTATTGCGGCTTCGACCCCGTTACAATGGAACCCGTTAAAAGTATGAAGGGCTCCGGCGCAGAGCCTTTTTATCGGCCGAAGAGCGCCGGCGCCGGCGGCGAGGCGGGGCAGTTTCCGGACTTCATGGAGACAGCGGGCGGCTATTTCCCTTCGGGCGCACAACCCGGCCAGTATTATTCCCACTCCAGAAACACCAGCCTCAGCAGCTGCGGAACCAGCAACGGCGGCAACAGCAGTAACAGCAGCAGCGGCGTCTTCGGCATGTGCGGCAGCGACACGAGCTCCGGCTCTCGGCGGCTGACGCGCGGACTCACGTCTCCCGCCGCCATGCGCTCCGACCCTGCGGGTTCCGCCGCCGCGCACCACTCGCAGAGCTTCCGCGCGCAGAAAATGCCGTATGATGCGCCGGAGTTTCTCGACATTTCCGCCGTCGCCGCGCGAGCCGCCGCCGCATACGGCGGAAACGCCTCCCCCGTTTCGGGTATGGCTCAAACGGGCCCTTTTATGTGCCGCACCGCGTCCTGGTCCGCCGCTTCCGCTCCCGGATGGGCCGACGCGTACGGAGCCGCGCCTAGTCACGAACTCAGCGGGTACGATGTTTCCCCCTCGCGATCATCCCTAGATCTGGATTCGCCACCGCAAATGCGCACACGCCACGTGTCAGCGGAAGACGCGGCGCTTGACTTTATCAAGCAGCACAACGCGACAACGTCCTCCGCGAGTAGGCGGTATCAGCGCGCGCCGCTGCCCCCGCGGTGTTCCGCGCAGCAGCAATCCCCCCGGGAGCAGCAGACAGCGGCAGATGTGCTGGCCGCAGGTGCTTCTGGGCGTCTACGGGTGCAGCGGAGCAGTAGTACTCGCAATAAGATCGTTTCGCTTGAAGATATTGTTTACGGACGAGTAACCTCGTGAGGCACGCACGTACATCCAGTTTTTTGTTCAACCTGACATCGTACTACGGTGTGAAGCAATTTCCCTCCACTGACAAGAGGGTTTTTCCACCCAGCTTTCAATAAGCTGCCTCCTTTTTTGGATTGGTGTAAATTTGTTGTGACCATTTTGTGTATATGTTTTCCCAAGGATGTAGCACACCAAAGGGAGTGCTCTCACCTTGGTTATGTTATGAGTTAGTGTTGCTGGAAACAATTGATTTAAGCGCCTCTGTCGTGTCTAAACACCAAGTCAGAAGCTAAGCTAAACATATCGAAGCATGGTCAGCTACCTTGACAAATACAGCTCGACAGCAAGGACAAACAACTGACTCGCTATTGAGTCGTCACTGTATCGAACCGCAACAGCAACAACAAAACAATTATTAGTTATAACTCTTCATATTCTCTTGTACTCTTATAAAAAGCTTGTATCTCTTTGTTATTATTAATATACTTTGCCCTCACATACCAGCACAAGGTGGTTCACAATCTTTCATTAAACGCTTGCGCTATCACGTCAGTCCTACCAGGAGTTTAGTCCTGCAAAGATCCTAAGGGCCTTTTTTCAGCCCAACAAGTGTTTTGTGCAAAGTTTTTAAAACTGGCCCACACTACCTTTTGTTATGGAAGCGACGATTCAGTAATGTCCCTCCCTGCCTACCTAATATAGCACCCACACAGCTAGCTTCAACCCAGCATCTGAGCCACCCTAGTTTCATCAGGGAGAGCGGGAATGGTATGGCACCTCCAACCATAGTGGTGATGGCTCAACATTCTCAAACAACAGCGCTTCCTTCAGCTTAGCATCATGCAGCCTCAACCCAGCATCTGAGCCACCCTAGTTTCATCAGGGAGAGCGGGAATTGCACCTCTAACCGTGGTGGTGATGGCTCCACATGCATTCGCAAACAACATCGCTTCCTTCAGCTTAGCCTCATCTGCAAGCAACAAGTCCAATGCAGCAAGTCCACTGCCTCCTCCTGCTAACTTGCGGAGAAACCCAGCAACAAAAGCGTCACCAGCGCCAGTGGTGTCGATAGCAGCAACACTGAACCCATCCACTCTCCCCTGGTACCGCTCTGTGTAGTACCTGCACCCCTTCTCCCCCTCAGTTACCAGCAATAGCCGAAGCTTCCCCTTTTGTTTACCATCGCCGCTGCTGCTGTTTTTGAAGCTGAGATTGAACAGAGACCGTGCCACGTCATCGCTGTAAGGGTCACCGCCATTGGTCAGAAACGCCACCTCCTCGTCGCTCACTTTGATGATGTGAGCGCGGTCCCAGATGCTCAAGATGCCGTCCCGCGCCGCTTCCGGGGACGGCCAGAGGGGAATCCGGAGATTAGGGTCGTACGAGAGAACAGTGTTGCCGCTGCTTTCCACAGCATCTAGTAAAGCCAGATGCGCGGATTTGCACGGATTTGTGATTAAACTGATGGATCCGTAGTGTAGCACAGATGCGCTTGTAGCGAGGCAGAGATCAAGCTCCTCCGGCTGTAGCAGCATGTCCGCGCTAGGGTTCCTGTAAAACATGAATTCCCTCTCGCCGTCGGATCTGAGTGTGACAAAAGCGAGGGCTGTGCGCGCTCCCGCGTCGAATCTGAGCGCTGACGTGTCAACGCCGTTCGTTTTAAGAATCCCGCCCAGCATGTGCCCAAATTCGTCCTCCCCAACCTTCCCCATGAACGCCGCGCGTCCACCGAGCCGCGCAATGCCGACCGCCACGTTGGCAGGCGCCCCGCCAGGAGCTTTCATGAACGCAGGCGCTTCGGCGAGAGAAACGCCATTGACGGTGGGGACGAAATCGATGAGCATTTCGCCGAAGCACACAACGAGCCCGGACTCACCAGCACCGGCGGCATCAGCTGCGTTTACACCGGCCATATCTTGATGATTGGACGATGCGACGACAGAAAAGGAGGAAATATCGCGGTTTCGTCGGAGAGGATTCGCTGGAACCGGTTTATTGATAGCGGATCGAGAGAGAGGAATACGAATTCCGGAAAGGGTGGTCCTGGGCTGGTGAGACACACAGCTGCTAGAAACGGAGCGAGTGCAAGACGGAAGGATATGGCGACGCTGCTTGAGAGCCTCAGTATAAGCAGAGCGCGCTGTCAGCAGAGCAGAGGCGGGGTTGGGAGAGGAGAGGATAAGCGTTGACGTGGGGAGCATGGCGGAGGTCACGGAGAGTTACGAGGGTTGCTTTCTTGACAGGAAGAAGAAAAATGTGAATTTCTGTGTGAAGTTTGCGATCTCTAATTCACACCTCTTCTTCCAGTCTCCTCAGAAATAGAGTACACTTCTGCCAGTACGTCAATTTCCAGGGTACAGGAAGTTACGACTCGGTAAAAAACGATTGGCTCGGTTTGTGCTTGTTTCCTATCGGTGGGCGCCGTTCTGCTATGATCCCCAAGCTTCCACTGCCGTGACTTGTGATGCGGGCAGTAGTAGACGAGACGCGACCGACCAATAGGATAAGTGAGCGGCACAAAGGAATCAAGGAAGCAGTGACAAGTTCCACTAACGAGGGACGGAATGGACGGAAGAATCGATGGCACTTTGGTCGGTGCCAGAAGTCAAGAGCAAATTCGATAGTACACAACATTGACTGAATGAAGAAAATAGAGCGCAAATCAGAACATACCTTAAATGTTTGATCATCCATGCATATCAATGATACACCCCTCCTAAATGTTTTTTTCACATCTAACCGGCCCTTCCATCCGCGGAGACGTGCCTTGAAATGAGAACGTGGAGGCAGCTGTGTGGTAGTGAGGATCGAATGGTAACAAGCTGTAGCAGAGGAGGATCGAGCACGAGCCAGCCATTGAATTGGTTTGTGGCCATGCTGTCATAAAACGCTCTGCCGTGCTGGTGCCACCGACTCCCCACAAATCACGCATAAGCCTCCTGCGTTGACCCATCACCAAGAGCACGACCTTCGCCACCAACCAAGCCTGCTTCAAGAGTCATTACCCTAAAAACGGTCTTCAAAGTTGCTGTTACTTCGCTCCTGCTGCAGCTGTTGCTGCTGCTGTTGCTGCTGTTGCTTCTGCTGCTGCCGCTGCTCTTACGGCAAGTATCCCTACACGATGTTACTATTGCACATGTATACCATGCTATGTGGTTACTGCTGCATGTGGTTACCCCGCATGTGATCGTCCACCAATGAGATGATTTCATTAACCTGTGGCATGCGGCCCTCTGCCAGCTTGGAGAAGAGCTGCACCAATCAAATTGCAGGAAAGACGTGGGGGGGGGGGAGGCATCCATGTGAACATGAGGAACAAATAGATGGGAGGAGGGAAGACGGGCTGACTTTTGAGTCGACTCAAAAATAGATGGGAGGAGGGAAGTCATGAGCGTAGGCCTTTGGGAAATAAGGAGGAGAGATGGGAGGAGGGAAGACGTGGCGGAGGCATTTGGGGAACGAGGAGGAGAAATAGATGGGAGGAGGGAAGACGTGTAGGGGGAGGCGTCATGGCAAATCAAGCCATCCAATGACAATCCATGCCATCCCATGACAACCCAAGCCACCCCACTGCCACCAATGCTGACCGTGCGGCCGTCCAGGACGGGTTTTGAGGCGCCTCAAAACCGTCCAGGCGAGCTAGAAAGCTCCGGTGCTGGCGAGCGACCCGTGCATCACGTTGGGATGTGGTGGTGATAGGGGGACTCCAATTTGACATGTCACACTGCCGCCCACGCCCACCACCAACCATACCCAACCCAACCCAACCCAACCCAACCCAACCCAACCCAACCCAACCCAACCCAACCCAACCCAACCGAACCGAACCCAGCCCAACCAAACCAAGAGCCATTCACTGCCACCAATGCTCACCGTGCGGCCGTCCAGGACGAGCTCGAATGCGCCCGTGCTGGCGAGCGACCCGTGAATCACGTTGCCCACAATCCACACGGTTGCCGCCGAGCCTAGCCGGTTGGTTCGGATCTGCTCGTACCTGTGGGTTGCAGAAACCCACAGGTTAAAATCGATAAAGGAAGTGGTGTAGGGGTGGAGACAGGTTGAGGGGATGAATATGGGAGGGTGAGTGCCGCAAATCAGTTGAGAGAGGGTGGGCAGGGGGGAAATCAAGGGAGATGGGGTGGGTGGGGGAAAGGGAAAGAGAGGGTGGGAGAAGGGAGAAAAACAATGGAGACCAAATGATGGAAGGATATCAACCCGCCCTCATCGTTCCTGAACACGTGGAACAAACGCATTCAGCAGATGGAAAAATCAACCGTGAAGCGAGGAGCTCACGATCAAGGAAACCAGCACCGGGGCGGGGAGATTGAAAATAACTCCCCCAACTGACGGGAGAAACTGACTCAGTCACCAAGGCGGGAAGGGCGGCGGGATGCCGACGACGGGCAGCAGCAAGTCCCCCGCGAAGACCATGGCGATCACCGCCATCTGCGCTTAGCGTTAAGAATTCCTGATCAAGATACTCACTCACCACTGCGGGAAGGGCGGGGGGAGGCCGACGACGGGTAGCAGCGAGTCCCCCGCGAAGATCACGGCGGTCGCCGCCATCTGCGCCGCGGAGAGCAGCTTCGAGAGAACCTGGCAGTACGCGGGGGGCGGGTGGTTGCCGAGGCTGACCTCCAGGTCCGGATACCGATCCAAGAGGATCTGCCGAACCTGCTGCGCCGCCCCCCTGGGGTGACGGGAAGGAGCACGACGGGCAGAAAAACATTTACTTAGATTCATGGCTCTTACGGAGTCGCTGGTTGACTTCTTCAGCAGTTCAACAGCCGGGCGAGAAATAAGGAAAGACGAGCGAGAAGCATTCATTAGCAAATGGGAGGGAGAGAGAAAGAGATTAATGAATCCCACTCGGGATTTCGAGTGGCGTTCGTACCTGTAGGATCAGGAAGTGCAAAAGGAGATTAAGAGGTTGTGCGCATGGTTGCGACTAGGAGTGGCGGACGCCGACGCGAACATCGCGCCGCCGCCAGTAGCGGATGCTGGAATCGGATTCGCGGCTAACCCGCCGCCAGACGCGGCGACGGGTGCGGTTGCGGTTGCGGATTCGGGGCCGGATTGCGCCTGCGAAGCGGCAGGCGAGGCGGTGAAGGGACGGATGACGTCAGCGGAGAGGGAGAGCGCGACGAGAAGCACGGCTATGAGAAGCGGAAACTGCCGTTGCCAACCCATGGCGGTGGGAGCATACAGAGGACACGGCTTGGGAGGTTTGCTGCAAAATTTATATATTATCAATAAATTAAGTTAGATTACTGTATCATGTGCTCATGCCGGAGTGGTTAACGGGACAGACTAGAAATCTGTTGGGCTCTGCCCGCGCAGGTTTGAGTCCTGCTGAGCACGATATATTTTTGGTTGTGTAGATGGTGAACCTTGTTGACTTTTCCCCACCAGAGCAGCATGGAATCTCACTGACTCCAACCTGCTCTAGAATGTGCCTTTTGTGAGACGGTGTGCTGGGCCAGCCTTGAACCAGCTCAGGTTGTCTGCACCTCAAAACAGCACACTAACCAAGGCCAATCTATGTGATTAAGAACTTAGGAGAAAAGAGACATGCCTTTTTTGTGGAAGTGTAAGGTGAGTTGAAAGCCAACAGTTGGGAAGTTATTTGACCAAAGGGCTTGTTCACCGACAGAACTTCACATGGAGGGCAGGCATGCAGGCATGCTGACATGCTACGACAGGTGGGTGAGAGTGCTGACTAGTGCCACCACCGCCTCCACGTCCGACTGGATCGATGGCTCCCTGCCTGCCGCTGCCAGTGGAGAGAGTGGGCAATGAGGGGGAAGAGTCAGAGTCAGGAGTAAAGACGCATTCGACAATCTTGCATGCTACGACAGGTGGGTGAGTGCGCTGACTAGCGCCACCACTGCCTCCACATCCGACTGGATCGATGGCTCCCTGCCTGCCGCTGCCAGGATGAGAAAATGACCAGCAGGGAGAGAGTGAGGAGAAGGACGTGTTTAGGAGGCGTCTATTCTACCACATCACTCTACAACCCTCCGCTCCTGCCACTACCCTGTCTGCCCCTCACCTTGCACTTCACCTTGCACTACCTTGTCCTGTCTGCCCCTCACCTTGCACTTCTGCTGATACCTTGTCCTGTCTGCCCCTCACCTTGCACTATGAGCTGCACGGCAGCATCAAAGTCATCGAGCCTCAGAGCAGAGGGCAGCATGGTTGGACCTGCTAGCCGCACCAACGCCACCTCCACTGCTAGCGCCCGCACCAGCACCCCCAGAAGCAGACGACACACCGCCAGCCGGGCGGGCGGCAGGGAGGAGGACGAGAGAGATGAGGAGGAGGGGGAGGAGGAGGAGGGGAATGAGGGGGAGGAGGAGGAGGGGAATGAGGGGGAGGAGCGGGCGGGTGGGGAGGAGGAGAGGCTGGGGTTTCCAAAGAGGGTGGTGGGGCGGAGAGGAGAGGAGGGGTTGAAGGTGGGTGGGTTGGTGGGGGGTTGACTTGGGGTGGTGGATGAGGAGGGGTGGTGGTTGGTTTGGTCTGCAGATGCGAGAATGTCTAGAATGATTGCCACTGCTTGGTCCTGATGGACAGATGTGGGCGGGAAGGAGTGGGGGCGAGAGAGAGAGGGGAGGATACGGGGAAGCGAGACAGGTGAGAGAGGGGTAGAAGCAGAATAGAGGACCTGAGTAACGTTACCACTTTCTGCTTGGCGCTGGAGGTAGAAGCACCAAGCTCACCTCCAGACTGTGTAGCACCTCTGGTGCTGGCCTGGCAGCACAAGTGCAGCTTGCCTTGAACGGTAAGCCACGAACCCAAAACGCTCAAGGGCAAATCACAGCACCACACACACACACCCTGACAGCTGCAAGCTCACCTCTAAACCGTGTAGCACCTCTGGTGCCGGCAGCACAGGCGCACCAACCCCCATCACCACGACTGCAGATGCCGCCCCTCCCATTACCCCCGCCATCACCCCTCCCCCTCCTCCCCCAAACCCTCCCATCGACCCCCACTCGCCTACCTCCCCTCCCCCCATCCCCCTCCCTGCCCAATGCTGCATTCCTGCCACGTCAGCACACCCCCCCGCCATGTCAGCGGTCGAGGGGAAATATCTGCGGAGGAGGGAAGTGAGGAAGTGTAGGGAGTGGAGAGCGAGAGAGTACACCTCGATTGCTACAGTATCCGTGTACTCTGAATGCAGACGACGAACGGCGGCCGCTCCTCCTCCTTTCCCGTCTCCTACCCCCAGTCCGGACTTCCCACCCGCTTCCGAACCTCCAGGCTTGGTTTGACCCGCCGAACCTGCTCCAAACCCAGCCTGTCCCTGCTGCCGCTTCGCACCCCAGAGGCCCAAACCTCCCGCCGTGCCTGTGCCTGTACCAGGTGTGCTTATAAGGGGGGACTGGGGTGTAGCTGGGGAAGTAGAGGCTACTTTAAGCGTCCCAGATTTGATTCCCTCGGGTTGACCCGTAGGGCTGACCCCTTTGCCTGTTAGAGTAGGGGAAGGAGGGAAGATGGCAGCAGCAGGGGTGGTGCTGGCTGTAGCGGGTGTGCTTGCTGCTGCTGCTCCTCCTCCTCCTCCTCCTGCCGTTGCTGGTGTTGCCAAAGCGAGAGATTGAGCACCTGTGGTTCCAGTTCCAGCTACTGCAGGTGATGCAGAAGAAGTACCAGCAGCAGCACTACCAGCAGCAGCAGCACCACCACTGCCAGTACCAGTACCAGTACCAGCAGCAGCGGCGGCGGCTGAAGCAGCATTAGAGTTCTCACGACGAGCAACAGCAGCAGCAGCGGTGGCTCTAGCCGTAACAGCAAACCAGCCTTTATGACACCCCACAGTAGCAGGCCGGGCATGTGCTGCTGCCTCCTCCCTCCCACCCATGTGACACACTATGCTGCTCGCTCCCCCCACAGGCCTCGCCAGCCCCTCCCGAGCAATGAAAGCCAGGAGGAGAGAGCATGAGGAGGAGAGATCAGAAGAGAGGTTGGGGGAGAGGGGCGAGGGCTGGAGAGGGGAGGTGATGGAGGGGAGGGTGGGGAGGAGTTGGTGGGAGGTTTGGCAGAGGAGGGAGAGAACGCGATTGGTGGATCGGAGGGCTGATAAGCTTGTGATTAGCTGATGGCGTTTTTTGGATTGGTGCCCTCGTGACTGTGTTGATTGTGACTGTAACGAGGGGTGGGGGAAGAGGAGAGAGGAGGAGTAGGAGGTAGAGGAGGTGGGGGTTGAGAGGGAGAGGAGAGAGCGTGAGGGGTGGAGAGGAGAGGAGAGGGCAGCTAAGAGTGAGGGGAGTTGGAAAGCGAGGAAGTCAAGGGCGAGTCTGGCTGCAGTGGAAGAGAGAGAGGAGGAGGAAGAGGCAGGAGAAGGGGAGAGCGAGAAGGGAAGACAGGAGGAGGAGGAGGTGAGAGTGAGTGAGTCGGAGAGAGAAGGTGGAGGGAGGAGGACGCGGAAAATGCAGGTGGTGACAGTGAGAGCTAGCGACCAGAGTTCCCACGCCTCTCGCACTGAAGCACTCTCCTCCTCTTGATCCATATCATATCTAGTATCATATCCGATATTATCTTTGAGATTATAACTGTTATCCTGATCGTTGATTCGCACTATACCATCCCCAATCGCACCCAACCGTCCCCACACCCCTGTTCCTCCTGCTGCCCTCCATGCTACCCCCCCTGCTGCCGCTGCTGCTGCTGCCGCTGCCGCCGCCGCTGCCGCTGCCGCTGCCGCTGCATTGAAATCCGAACCCCCCCTATCAGCATACAGCCCCCCAAAGGCGGCAGAAGCTTCCTGGAAAGGGCCGACGCTGAGGTGGGAGTGAGGCGGCAGGCTGTCAGTGATGGTGCTGACGTGGCGCAGGAATCCAACGGCCAGGAGAAGATCTGCGCCCTCACGCGTGGATGAGAGGGTGAGGCAGAGACTGAGCACCACCCGCGCAGATGCAGAGCGAGAGAAGCGAGAGGAGCGAGAGGAACGAGAGGAGAGAGAGGAATATGCAACTGCTCCGTCCCATGTGGTGTTCCCAGCAGCTGCTGCTGCGGCGGTGGCTTCTTGTGAGGGTGGAGGGCGGTACTGGAGAGTGGAGGAGAGGAGGGAGGGGAGGGAGAGATGGGCGGATACCAGAGGTCGCCATGTTAGGGGGGAGAGGAAGCACCTGAGCGCCATTTCCACCACTGATAGAGCTTGCATCGGAAGGTTCCTGGAAGCGTCTGCCGCGCCGATGAATCCCTGCGCGTCTTCTTGGATGTTCGAGGAAGCTGCCTCGAGGAGCACGGGAAGGTTCTCTGAAAGCACCACAGTGACGTCAGCTGTTTTGTCTTGTAGCAGGGAGACAGTGGCAGGTGTGTCGGATGAACCTGGTAACTCGCTCCTCCTCTGCTCTGACGTCAGCAGGACGTGGATCAGCTGCAGGACCGATAGCAGGCTGCCAAGTGTCGACACGGCGGGCCAGGGCCCCACGAGTTCTGCCAGCTCAGCATCCATCAGCTTCCGGGAAGCTTCCATGAGCCTTCTCACGAGGGTCGAGGCAAACGAAGCAGCGGATTCTAAGACACCCTGTTGACTTGCCAGGCTCTGTTGACTTTCTTGACCAGGAAGCTTCCTCTGAATTTCCTGCTTCTGGTGGTGGGTCCATCGGATGATTAAGAGGTGGAGAAGGCGAGAGGAGGAGGAGAGATAGGCAGCTGGGGAGGGGAGAGGAGGGGAGGAGGGCGAGGAGGGCGGGAGAGGGAGGACAGAAGAGCACGCAACGAGGAGCGAGGAGGAGAGAGCGGTGATAGTGCTCTCAAGAAACGAGTGCTCAACCGCAGCCGACCCATCTGCACCCCACTGCACCGCCCAAGGATCCTCCGCACCCACCGTACTCCCCTGAAACCCATCTGCACCGCTCAGTCCCCCCCCGCTGCTGACTGCCAGCACGTCTCCTGCAGCCCGTGCTGCTCCCAGCAGCCCCCCTGCTTGCCACAGGAACCCATCTGCTATCAAACACGCCTCTGCTGCTGCTGCCACCAGGGCAAGGGGCGGTGACTTTTCACTAGCAGAACCACCACCACCAGCACTGGCACCGCCACAACCGCTGCTGTCGCTGCTGCCCCAGCAGCGGAGACCAGCCGAGGCAGTGAGGCTGCGTGGAAAGAAGGCAGTAGTAATGCTGCCTGCAATGCTCTCTAACCGCTCTACCCTCGCTTCTGCTGCTGCTCCCTGCTCCTGCCCTGCTTCCCCTCCTGCTTCCCCTCCTGTTGCTGCCCCTCCTGCTGCTGCCCCTCCTCCTAACTCCAACCCCCCTCTCAGCAAGCCTCCCACTCCTCCCTCTGCTACTGCTGCCCCTGCCAGGGCCCGTAGAAGCTTCCCAGCAGCTTCCACCGAGTCCAGGCAGCGTTCGGCTATGGCAAGAGAGGAGGAGGAGAGAGAGGAGGGTGTGAGGGAGGAGGTGGAGGAAGCGAGGAGGGAAGTGGAGGAGAGGAGGGAGGAGAGGGAGGAGAGAGAGGAGAGGGAAGAGGGGAGCTGAGAGGAGATTGAGGAGCAGAGGGCGGAGAGGAGAGCGGGTTTCCAGTCAGAGGGGTGGTGGTGAGGGGAGAAGTGGTTTGAGGAGAGCTGATGGCGTAGCTGCTGCAGAAGTGGGTGTGAAAAGAACTGCATGCGGAAGATGGGGATAAAGAGACGGGGAGAATGGCAGCTATGAAAAAAAATCAGGTGAAATGTGCCGCAGAGAGTGCACGGCAGAGAGTTGAGGCAAGTGGATTGAGAACCGTGAGATGAGAGAGGAAGGGAAGGGGAGAAAGGGAAGAATTGCGCACTTTAAGGTAAAGAGACGGGTTAAGAGAACAACCCAGGCATGGTGAGTGTTGCAACACATGTGGCATGGTGAGTATGGCATATCATGGTGACAATAAGAAGGAAATCACTTGGAAGGAGATGGAGTGAATCTGCTCTAGCAGTCGCAGGCTCATTCCCTCCACGTCACCAACAGCCACCCGCCACATCAGCACGGCCGCCAACAGCTTGCATGCCAGCTGGCAGGATACAAGAAAAGTGGGGACGCAGGGGGGTGGGTTGAGCTGAGTGAATGAAACGAACCACAGTGACGACGAGTGTGTGGGTGGGTGGGAGGGAAGACAACATCTGAAGTGCGTTGACTTTTGAGTCGACTCAAAAGACAAACACGAGTGGGTGGGTAGGAAGAAGGGAAGACAACATCTGAAGTGCGTTGACTTTTGAGTCGACTCAAAAGACAAACACGAGTGGGTGGGTAGGAAGAAGGGAAGACAACATCTGAAGTGCGTGCGGATCAGCAGCACCAGCAGCGCGAATCGCCACTCCCCTGCAACCACCAGCTCAGCTGATGCTGTTCCAGATTCACTTGGTGAGTCCACAGCAACTGCTGCTGCAAAACCAAAACCTATTGGCAGCAGCAGCAGCAGCAGCAGCAGCAGCAGCAGAGCTGGTGATGGTAGAGGAGTGGCAATTGGCACTGCTGGAGCTGCAGTTGGATATGTGTGAGCATATGCTTACTCACCTGTCCGCTGCTCCAAGCCTGCCACATGTCGCCCCACAGCCGCCCCCCTCCCTCCACCACCCCCACCAGTTCCTGCACCAACCCCACCCCCTCTCCTCCCTTCGTCCCTCCTCCGCTCGCCTCTAGCAGCAGCATCCCCGCTCCTGTTGCCGCTCCTCCGGCTGAGTATTTTCCAGGAAGCTTCTTCTCCAGGAATAGGTTGAGGGAGACGAGGCGCAGGGCGGCGGCGTGGGAGCGCCAGCGCCAGCCAGCTTGCGCCAGCTCAGCGGGGGCGTATTCCACGTCAGCGGACGACGAGGAGGTGCCGAGGGAAGGGGAGAGTGAGGAGAGCGAGGGAGGGGAGGGGAGTGTGGAGGGGGATGGGGAGGGAGAGGAGGGGGAGGAGTGGAGGATGGAGGAGAGGGAGGACCAGAGGGTGGGGTTGGAGCGGAGGTGGAGGAGGAGAGGGAGGAGGGGAGAGGAGGAGGAGCGCCAGATGGAGCACAGGAGGCGCAGGAGCAGACAGAGCTGCATGGGGTGGCTGGAACAGGGGGGGAATGAGAGGAGAAAACAAGGAGTTGGGAGTAGGCTTATTTTTTAGGAAGGGAAGTTTATTTTTGAGTCAGCTCTCAAGCGTTTTCCAGGAATGCAGGAGGAGACGAGTCGTTACTTTTATCTGCTTGAAAAGGTAGGTAAGAAAAAGGGAAAGTTAAATTTCGAGGCTACTCAAAGGAGGAAAAGCGAAATTGGTGAGGAATTCGGATGGGGAGAGGAGTCGACGAGAGAGACAGAACAGGAATGCAAGGGGGTGTGGGTGTGGGGGGTGGGGTGGGGGGTGTAAGAAGGGTAGGGAGGAATTTATAGGCATATGGGAGAAAAGAAGTGAGATGGTAAGGGAGGGTAAGAGTCAAGACTCACGCGGCCATGAGGGAAGGGCCTGCAGACAGCAGAGCAAGGATTCTGTCTACGTTGGCTGTGCCCCTCTTTGCGAATTCCCCCCTTCGTGTGCTGCCTGCTCCTGCTGCTCCTGCTCCTGCTCCTGCTGCTCCTGCTCCTGCTCCTGCTCCTGCTCCTGCTCCTGCTCCTGCTGCTGCTCCACCTGCAGCCGCTGCTGCTGCTGGTTTGTCTGTGCTGGTGCTGCTGGTGGTGGTGGCACTGCTGCTTGCAGAGTGGAGGGAGGGATGCTCGGCCAGAAGGAGCTGGTGGAGGAACTCAGGCTGCACAAGGGAGGTGTGTGGGAAATAGTAGGATAGGTCAAGAAAGGCTGAGAGCGGTAGTAGTGGGGGAAGTGCGGGAGGGATGCTCGGCCAGGAGCAGCTGGTGGAGGAACTCAGGCTGTAGGACGGGGGGTGTGAGGAATAAAAAATTGGGCTGAGAAAGGTTGAGAACAGTGCAATAGGGGAAACTAGTGCTGGTTGGGTGAAGTGAGGGAGGGAGGGTCGGCCAGCAGGAGCTGGTGGAGAAACTCAGGCAGCAGAAGGGGAGGGGCGTGGGGACGATGGAGAATTGTTGGGAAAGGTTGAGAACGGTGCAGTGGGGAAAACCAGTGCTGTTGGATGAAATGAAAAAAGTGAGGGTCGGCCAGCAGGAGCTGGTGGAGAAACTCAGGCAGCAGAGGGAGGGTGTGTGGGGGCGGACGAGATGGGCCAAGAAAGGTTGAGAACGGTGACAATGCATGAAGCAGGTGCTAGCTGGGTGAAGAAAGGGAGAGAGGTTCGGCCAGAGGGAGCAGGCGAGAGAAAATTAATATGGAGAGAGGAGGGGTGTGGGGATGAGGGAGATAGGATGAGAAAGGTGAGAGTTGGTGAACGTAGGTGCTACATGGGTAAAGTGGGTTAGGGGCAGAAAGGAGTGAAAGAGTAGGAGAGGTGCTTACTTGTGAGTGTGCAGCGTGAGTGAGTATTGAGGAACCTCAAGAGTCTACTTTTGAGGCCTCTCAAAACCTAGAGAGGGGCTTACCTGTGAGTGCGCTGCATGAGTGAGCAGTTGAAGCAGGGGGACGAAGAGCGCAGATGAGGGAGAGGAGGAGGATGAAGACGCTGATTTTGACGGTGCTGATGCATTGATGGAGGCCGATTCAACGGCCAGGATGCGATCCGCAGAGAGCTGGAGGCTGTGAAGCTGCGTGGGGGGTGGAGGAGGGTAGGGGGGAGGTGGCACGTAGGGGAGGGGGGAGGGGGGAAGGGGGGGAGGTGGAAAGGAAGAATGGTGGGTGTGGTGTGGGCGGGGAAGGTGAGAGATAAAATCAGGGACGTGGGAGATAAAATCAGGGACGTGGGAGATAAAATCAGGGACGTGGGAGCATCGTCGTACGGCGAGATTGGGCAGGGATAAGCCCAGCAGGAGATTGGGGAGGGATAAGGCCAGCAGGAGATTGGGGAGGGATAAGGCCAGCAGGAGATTGGGGAGGGATAAGGCGAGCAGGAAGGGACAGGAGTGGAGAGGGGATACGGAAGAGAGATGCAGAGGAGAGGAAAACAAAACACAGCATTTAGACAACAAACGGAAACTCATTCACATGTGCTAGGAGCCGAATTAGATGTCTTGGAAGCCAAAACATACTTTTGAGGCGCCTCAAAAGGAAGCCAAAACATACCTTTGAGGCGCCTCAAAAGGAAAACAAAACACCCCAGGCCAGGGTCGGTGGCTCAGTTGTGTGCATGGCCTGCAGCTAGTCATGATCCATTGTAATCAAACGCCCCAGGGTCGGTGGCTTACAATGGGTTTGGCGGCAGGTTGGGAGAAGAAGGAGGAGAGGACAAGGAGGTGTGGTCTGATGCGAGCGGTGATGGTGCAGAGGGTGTGTAGGAAGGTGAGCGAGGCACGTCGTAGAGCCTGCAATGGGAGGAGTGGAGTGGAGGGAGTAAATGGGGAGAAATGAGAGTAAGTCACGTCTGATGGGGAGAAATGAGAGCAAGTCACGTCTGACACGCGAGAGGTGATGGTGTGTAGGAAGGTGAGCGAGGTGAGCGCACCACCCCTCCAGGCGGTGTCGTCTCCCCTCTTTGACCGCACCCGCCCTCCAGCCGGTGTCGTCACCCCCCTCCCCCCTCCTCTCCCCCCCCCCCCTCCTTCCGTCATGGCGGACGACTCTATTCCCATTGAGCTCGGAGCTATCGACAAGCTCGGAGCTATCGACAAGCTCGAGCTTCTTCATGACACAACCGCTGTGAACTGGGCGTCGTTCGAGGATTCGCTCCACACCCACCTTGGCTCCCTCATCATTCAGGACTACTGTCTGCTTGACATAGACCTTGAGCATCCTAACGGCCTTCCACCTGTCCCTCCCCCTCTTCTTGAACCTCCTCCTCCCGACGCCCCTCCACCCCTAGAGCCTCACTCTGATCCCCCCCGTGCCCCAATTCATGATGACAATCCAGATCGATGGGCGGCCAACTTGAACAACTACAACAAGCTTCGCGACGCCTACACCATCCAGCGTGAGGCGCACTGTGCTGCTGAGAAGGCTCACGCTGATGCTACTGCGCACATCCTATCCTACACACAGGATGAAAGAGACTATGCTGAGGAACTTCGCAAGTTCAACAAGGATACTGCAGCATGGCGAGTTGCGGATCATCGCGCTCTAGCCATCATTTTCTCCTGCATCCCTTCCCACCTCAAACACGACCTCCGCCCCACTTCCTCCTCTGGCCTCTAGAAAACCCTGTCCACTCAATACGATCGACAGGACCTTCGCTCTCTCCTTACCCTATTTCGCAAGTTTCAAGATACCACTCTGGACTCATCCCCCACTGCTGCCGCTTTCACTCGCCGCCTCATTGACACCGCACAGCGTCTCAACAACCGTGGCATTGTCATCCATGAATCGCTTCTCACTGCACGCATCCTTGACTACCTTCCACCCACATACGATACCTACCGCATCACCTTTACCTCCCGCTACCGCCATCCTCCTCCTGTAGCTGACACAATCGACTGGCTCCTTGACAGCGAAGCGGACATCCAACGTGACTCCACGACCATCAATGCTGTCCAGACTCGTAAAACTCCCGCAAGCAACCACAGCAGCGGCGGAGGTGGCGGCTCAGGCGGTACTGGCAGTGGCGGTGGTGGACGTGGTGGTGGGCGAGGCGGTGGACGCGGTGGTGGTCGTGGTGGCGGCCGTGGTGGGCGCGGCAAGAACCCCTCTCCTTCGGGTACCCTTCCCCCGTGTCAGTACATCATTCGCTATAACTCCAACAAAGGTCAACCCTGCGCTCAAACCACTCACACCACTGACACGTGCTTCAAAGCCCTCACTGACGAGTGGTTTGCACGTGGCAATGTCGGCACCCCACCTAGATGGAACACCACATTTCCGCGCCCCTCTCTCCATGACATACGCACTCACACCATCTTCACAATGTCCTCACTAAGCATCTCCCGCCTCATATTCTCCAGCAGGTTCAACATCTTCTCCTTTCATCTCCTCCCACTCCCACACCTTCCATCCCCCCTCCAACCACACTTCCTCTTCAAGTCCCTCCCCCCCACTACCCTTCACCCTATACTGGCTGGCCATACCCTCTCTATCCACCTCCTCCATACGGCCCTGTGCTTCCTACACCTGCTACCACTCCTGCTCCTTCCATGTATGCCCATGCTATTAATGAGACATCCTTCCAGTATTCCGCTTTTTCCTCCTCCTCTGCACCCCTTGAGTTCATTCGTGACAGTGGGGCCACACACACCGTCCTTCGGGACGCTGGCACACTAGTCCCCCTACCCACTCCCTCCACCATTTACGGTGCCGACTCCAGCTTCACCATCACAAGTCGACACACCTCCACCCTCCCTTGCCCCATCTTCCCCTCAGGCACAATCACAAATCTACACGTCCTCTCACTACGCAACAATCTGGTAGCACTTCGTGACCTCCCAAGGTTAGGTGTCACCGCCATCTTCCCCGGTCATGCACTTCACTGCGACCTCTTTCACACCATCACTGATCGCTTCATATGTCGCATCCCCCTCTTCCCACACACAAACATGTACACATACCGCACCCCTCACCCCTCCATCCACCAACTCACCACTCCCACCTTACTTCCCCCTCATTCCTTTCCCCCTCTCATCTCCCCCCCCTCCTCCCTCCCCTTCTCCCCCCCTTCCCTCCCCTCCCCCCCCCCCTCCCTCCTCCCCCTCCCCTTCCTCCTCCCCCTCCCCTCCCTCCTCCCCTTCCCCTTCCTCCTCCCCCTCCCCTCCCTCCTCCCCCTCCTGTCACTGTCGTGACCTTACCCATCCCGCCGTCCTCCTTCACCATCGCTTGGGTCATCCTAACTTTGCAACCCTCCGCCAATCTGTCACCTCTCAACTTCTTGAAGGACTTCCCCTCACCCTCCCCTCTCTCCCCCCCTCGCCTTCCCCTCCCTGCTCAGTTTGCATTGAAAACAAACTAAAGCAAGCCCCCCACAAGAGTCATCCCCCCTTCTCTCCCCAACCCATTGATCTCGTCCACATGGACCTCTAGGGCCCCAATCCCTCCCTCCCCTACCAGGCAAGGTCATCGCTACATGCTCATACTGGTAGATGACCATAGCCGGTACTCCACCGTCTCCCTCCTTCGCAAGAAGGCAGAGGCCCCGGCTGCCATTATTGCCTGGGCTGAACAAGCACGCACCCATTTCAAACGGCCTGTCTCTCGCTTCCATTCCGATGGCGGCAGTGAGTTCCTTAACCGGATGCTTTCCTCCTACTGCTCCACCCATGGCATTATCCACACCTACACCCTTCCTCATTCCCCTCAGCAGAATGGTGTGGCGGAGAGCAGAGTCCGAGAGGTCACAAAGACCGCTCGATGCCTCATGGTCCATGCCTCCTGCCCGCCTTCTTTGTGGGGCTATGCTATCCTCCACGCTGCCATCCTCACTAATCTCTACCCCCATCCTTCCCGGCCCACCACTACACCCACCGAACTTTGGACCTCCACTAAACCCGACATCTCCCCACTGCGCGTGTGGGGTTCCAAGGCATATGTTATCATACACCCTGAGGCCCGTTCACGTACAGCTGGGAAACTTGCCTCCCGCACCCTCCCCTGCATCTTCATTGGTCATAACCCCACCTCCCCGGACTACCTCTTCCTCCACCCCCCCTCAGGTCGTCTCATTCGTAGTCGGGATGTGGTTTTTGATGAAGCCAATCCGAACTACACCTCCCCCTCTGCCCCTAACCCCCTTCCCCCTAACCATGCGTCCTCTTCTCTGGACTGACACTATCCCCACCCCTCCCCTTCAGCCTCCCCCCACCCTAGTCATCCCCGCACCCCCACCCCCACCCCCCTCTCTCCCAACCTCCTCAGGAAACATCCTTGACCCGGCTGCCCCTCCCTCCCCTTCCGCTGTAACTCCCCCCCCCCCCTGCTGACCCTCCCGCTCCCTCTCCACCCTCTCCCCCTCCCTCCCCACCCCCTCCCCCTCTGAACCCTCCCCCACCCCCTCCCCATTCCCAACCTCCATTACCTCCTCCCTTCTCATCTCCTCCTCCGCCCCCTCCCCCTCCACCATCTCGGCCCCTTCTTCCCTCCCCTCCTCTGCTCCTTCGTCACTACCCTCACACCCGCTCCACAGTCCCCATCCTTGGTCCCCCACGGTCCAATCACCTCTCCCTCCAGTCTCTCACATCTATTCCACTCCTCCGCCACTCTAGCACTTCCCCTCTCCCCCGCACCAGCCCCTCAGGTTCCCACACCAGCCGTGCTCCCGTCTCCCTGCCCTTCACGGCAACTTAGCGCAGCAGAGAGGCATTGCAGCTGTCTCCTCGCCCCGACCCTCGACGCAGCAGAGCAGCAGTGCAGCCGTGTTCCCGCCCCAGCTTGACCCTCCAGCGCAGCTGTCTTGCATCTTCACCGCCTCCTCTTCCTCCTCCTCTCTCTCCGGACCTCTATGAAGACTCTCACGATGAACTCCTTTTCCTCCACCTCCTCTCACCCACCATCGCCCCCGTCGTCCGCACTATGGCTGACACTACAGTCCTTCTCTTCTCCAACACCCCCACCATCTACGAACCCACCACCTACGAGCAAGCAATTGCATGTCTTGATGCACCTCTCTGGATCGAGGCCATGGTCAAGGAATGCAACGCCTTCATCCACAACCGCTCATTCCTCGACGTCCCTCGCCCCTCCAAGCACAACGTGGTCAAAGGCAGGTGGCTCTTCTGGGTAAAACTACTCCCTGGTGAAGCTCCTGTCTACAAGGCTCGGTATGTGGCGAAATGCTTCACACAGACCTATGGCTCGGACTTCTTCGAAACCTACTCACCTACCACCACTCCGCCGGTCATTCGCGTGTTCCTGGACTTGTTGGCAGACGCGAGATGCTCCTCCACTCCATGGATGTCACCACGGCCTTCTTACAAGGCGACCTCCATGAGCTCATCTTCTTGGAACGTCCCAAGGGCTTCCACACTCCTCACGACCCTGCCACCGTCTGGAAACTACTGCGCCCTGTCTACGGGCTCAAACAAGCACCTCGAGAATGGCACGCCAAACTCTCTTCCACCCTTTGCGCACTTGGCTTTCGCCCCTCCCGCGCTGCCTCCTGCCTCTTCCTTCGCTTCACCCCGTCACCCTTCTTCATCCTCGTCTTCGTCGACGACATGCTGCTGGCGGCTGAGACAGCTGCTGAACTTCAGAAGGTCAAGGATGAACTACAGCACCGTCTCGCCTGCAAAGACCTGGGGGAAGTCCGCAACTACCTCGGCATGGAGATCACCCACGATCTCACTGCCAAGACTATCACCCTCTCCCAGTCATTCTACCTCGGGAAGGTGCTTGAGAGGTTCGACATGTCCAAATCCAAACCCATCCCCACACCACTTGCATTCAGGCATCAGCTTTCGCCTCCAGCCGCTCCTGTCCCCTCCTCTCATCCCTATGCAGAACTTGTTGGGGCCCTGATGTACGCCATGGTCTGCACTCGTCCCGACCTCGCATACCCCGTTAGTGTCCTGGCGTGGTTTGTTGGCACCGGCAAGCATGGTGAGGAGCACTGGAAGTTGGCCATGCATGTTCTGCGCTACCTCCACGGCACAAAGGACTATGGCCTCACTCTTGGTGGTGTGAACCCACCTGTTCTTCAAGGCTACAGTGACTCATCTTGGGCAGACGCACAGCCGGACCATCGCAGCTCTCAAGGCTATGGCTTCTCACTTGGGAGCGGCCTCATCAGCTGGCGCTCCACTCGCTCCTCCTCCGTCGCCCTCTCCTCCTGCGAAGCCGAGCTGTACGCAGTCACAATGGCGGCTCAAGAGGCACGTTGGCTTAGCTATCTACTCACCGACCTTGGCTCACCACAGCCCTGCCCCACCCTATGGTGTGACAACGATAGTACCATCCACCTCACCAAGGAGGCCGTCTTTCATGGTCGCTCCAAGCACATTGAACTTGTGCAAGATGGTCACATTACTGTTCGTAAAATCGACTCGTCCGCCAACCTCGCTGACCTCTTCACCAAGGCTCTCCACCGCTCTAACCATTCAGCGCTCCTGCGCCTTCAGGGACTTGCTCCCCACGATGGCTGATTCAGGGGTTGTTGCGTTCTCTCCTCCAAAGCTTATGGATTTCTGCAGGTTAAAGGGTTGTGTCAGATTACCATCTTCATTGTAACTTGCATCATCATATAAGCTTTGGTTAGAAATAGGCACCCAAACTTAGTTTGGGTGCACAACTAGGGTTTACCCTAGTTTGAGGTTGGAAACCAACCTTGGCCCAATGATTGGGCCCCCAAGGTTGGGTTGAGAGATTATTGGCCTCCCCAATAATGTTGACCCACTCTTGGTCAACATTATTGGTCCCCCCAATAACTCCTCAACCCAACTTACTGGTGGGGGCCAATAATGTTGGCATGGCTCCTACAACCTAACTCCACTATGTAAACCCATGCCCTTCCTAATGAAACTATCGGTTCCTCTTTACGTTTTCTCACAGAGAGGTAAGAGAGGTGAGAGAGGTGAGAGAGGTGAGAGAGGTGAGCGAGGTGAGCGAGGTGAGAGAGGTGAGAGAGGCACGGGGCACAACCTGCAAGGGAGGGAGTGGAGCGAGAGGATGGGTGAAAGAAAACGCTCACCTGTGCCAATGAGCGTTTTTGCTCGTAACACAAGCACTACCAGCACTCGCTTGCAGATGAAAATGCAAAGAAAGTGCAAAATCCTGCAAACCTGCAAGATTTGCACACCTGTGACTGGCCGAGGCTTGTCAGTGCAGCAAGCGCCGTCACCAGCGGAACTGAATCAAGCCCCACCGTTGCTCCTGCTCCCTCTCCTCGTCCTCCTCCTCCTCCTGCTGCTCTTGCTAAGGCAGCGTCTGCTGCAGCTCCTGTAGAGTCTAGTGCTGGTGCTGACGGGGTGAGCAGCATGAGATGCGAGGGGAGGCGAGCGGAGGAGGAGAGCAGAAGCGACTCCAAGGGAGAAAGGGGCTGCGGGGGGAGGGAGCGGGGGGAAGTGAGGGGAAACAAAGAGAGGAGGGGTGAGAAGAGAAGGGGGAGAGAGATGGTTAAGATGAGAGGGGAGAAGTGCAGAGGAGGAGAGGAGAAGCGACTCCAAGTTGGAGAGGGGCAAGGCGTGAGAGAGAGGGAAGCCACAGAGAGAAGAGACAGGCAGAGAGGATGAGGGGCACAGGGTGAGCAGCTCACTCACCGCATCAGAGGTGTAAACTGAGGCGCGTCAAAATACACCTCAATGCTCGAGGATGAGTGGGCCTGGCTCACTCACCGCATCAGCAGCAGCCTCGCTCCACTCACAGCAGCAGCTGCTGCATGGCAGAAGGGCTTGAGGCGAATGCAGAGGGTGAGCAGCTCCAGACCCCGGTGCAGCGCCGCCTGCTGCTCTGAACCACCTGACACGGATTCAGCACAGGCGTCGCCCCCATGAGTGCAACTGGGTCACTCACCGCATCGGCTGTAGCCTGGCAGAAGCTGTTGAGGCGAATGCAGAGGATGAGGAGCTCTAGACCCCCGTGCAGCGCCGCTGACTGCTCTGACGATTCAGAACGCAACATTGATTCTTCAGCACAGGCGAGGCTCTCCTCACAGTAACTCTGGGAGCCCCCCACAGAGCCCCTGCCTGGCAGCACGAGCAGCACCGACTGCAGTGGTGCCAGCAGTGCGGCGGATATGCGTGCATCAGTGAGCAGCAGGTGGAGCAGCTTGGACGCGAGAGCAGAGGCTGCGGAGGGCGAGGAGGGTGGGGCTGGTGGGGATGGTGGGGAGGAGGAGTAGGGGTTGAATGTCTCACTGCTCATCCTGTCACCACTGCTGCTGTTGCTACTACTGCTCCACATTCCCGCTCCAACTCTGCTTCTCTTATATGCTCCTTTCTCCTGCCACCCCTCCCTCCGCATGTACTCCTCTCTCTCCTCCGTAACTTCTTTCTCCTCCCGCTCCTCCTCCTCCGCCTCTTCCCAGTCGTCCCCCCCTCTGTGGCCGCTTCCCCCCTCCAGGAGGGATTGTGTGGAGCGGAGGAGAGAGGAGGCGGCCCAGGGGGCGAGAGAGAGAGTGAGGGAGAGGAGGCGAGACAGCTGGGAGCGGGGGAAGAACGGAGGGGTGACAGGGAAAGGGTTGTCGCGGGGGAAGAGTAACAGGTTAAGGTTGGGTTGGCGGATGGGGGTAGAAAGGGGGGAAACATGAAGCAGAGTGTGACGAGGGAAGGGAGGGTGCGAGGATGAGGCCGCGAGCAGGATGAAGAGATGGATGGAGGATATGCAGGATGGGGATATGCCTGTACCTTGCCAGCCATGTGCCATCGCTCTCTGCCATCCTCCATGCGCCACGCCACTTAGTTGGGCAGCACATATCACCGCAAACCCCAGAAGGCCTGGCACTCTCCCCGCCCCATGAAAGATCTTCCGGAATTCCCTTCCATCTCCCTACCATCTCCCAGCACCTCACCTTGCCAGCCATGTGCCATCGCTCCCTGCCCTCCTCCATGCGCCATGTGTCGGAAACTCATAATCTGTGGCATCCCATGGCTTGCCTCCTCCTTCCTGCTCTCACCCTCCCTCCCTTCTTCTTCCAAGCTCTGTTCCTGTGATACCTTACCTGCTCTGCCTCAGCCACTACCGAGAGATTCTGGCTCCCACACGATGGCTGCCCTCAGTGGCCTAGTCACCTAGCTGCTGTAGCGTTAGAACGGCAACGTAAACCCACTATTTTAGGCAAACAAACGAGAGAACGAACTAAGCAGTGAGTTCCTAGTCTATTTGAATCTCTACCCCGTGCCGCGCAGTTTCCCGTAACTCACATTGGGCTCCGCCCGCTAGGCTTTAGGATTGGCCTTTCAGATTGCCCAGGGCTCGCCCTTGAATTTGTCCCACCCTGCGCCTCGCAAGTCCCTGAATCACCACTTTGCGTCAATCCCCACGCCCCAAACTCACCTTCTACAGTACTTCGAATAACCCAACACTAGCAAGTAACTGAATCTATTGCAAACAACAATACATTCTGTGACAGCTGTCGGAAACTCATAATCTGTGGCATCCCATGGCTTGCCTCCTCCTTCCTGCTCTCACCCTCCCTCCCTTCTTCTTCCAAGCTCTGTTCCTGTGATACCTTACCTGCTCTGCCTCAGCCACTACCTGCCCCCTCCAGAGCTCGTGCTCGGGTCTCCCGTGCACGTGTCACTGGACACTCTTGCTGAGGCCGGGTGCTTCTCACCACTGCAGCATTCGTCAGGCGGTTCCCCGTCTGCTCTCTTCTCTGATTCCTCTGCACCAGCACTCTTGGACCCCCCATGTCCTGCGTCTCTCTTCTCTGTGTATCCAGTGCCACTTCCAGCATATCCCTCTCTGCAGGTATGCTCCCTGTCCCATGCCACCCAGTTCTCAGCCACTCTCATTCCCGCTGGTTCTGTCAGCACCTGTGTTGCTGGCTCCATCGACTCATCTTCCCATGTCTCTCCCTTAATCCCCTTTACTGTCTTCACGGCCTTTTGTTCTTTCTTACTCATTGCATCTCCCACTGTATGCTCCAGTCCTTCTCCTATTGTCAGGCACTCCCACGCCCCCTCTTCCTTGCTCTCCCTCGCTGCTTCTTCCTGCTTCTTGGCCGGGTCCCTCACCGGACCTTCCCATCGAGCGACCCATAGGTCACCTTGCCCCTGGTTACACGCCGCCTCTGCTGGTATGCTCCTCACATCCGCCTCGGGTCCTCTCACGGCTTCTTTTCCCATTTCTTCCCCCTTCAGCTCTGGATGTCCTTCCCACAGCTTCCTCACTTGCTGCTCCACCATCCCACTTTCCTGCGCTTGCTTGTCTGCCTTTAGTACACGTGCCCGTGCCCCCACCTTCTCGTCTTTTCCTCCTGCTTCTGCGGCTGCTGGTGCGCACGCCCATGCCCCCTTTTTCTTGGCTTTCCCTTCTGCTACCGCTGCTGCCACTACACGCGCCTTTGCCCCCACCTTCTCTTCTTTCCCTTCCTCTTCTGCTGCTGCTGCTACACGCGCCTTTGCCCCCACCTTCTCTTCTTTCCCTTCCTCTTCTGCTGCTGCTGCTACACGCGCCTTTGCCCCCACCTTCTCTTCTTTCCCTTCCTCTTCTGCTGCTGCTGCTACACGCGCCTTTGCCCCCACCTTCTCTTCTTTCCCTTCCTCTTCTGCTGCTGCTGCTACACGCGCCTTTGCCCCCACCTTCTCTTCTTTCCCTTCCTCTTCTGCTGCTGCTGCTACACACGCCTGTGCCCCCACCTTCTCTTCTTTCCCTTCCTCTTCCGCTGCTGCTGCTACACACGCCTGTGCCCCCACCTTCTCTTCTTTCCCTTCCTCTTCCGCTGCTGCTGCTACACACGCCTGTGCCCCCACCTTCTCTTCTTTCCCTTCCTCTTCTGCTGCTGCTGCTACACACGCCTGTGCCCCCACCTTCTCTTCTTTCCCTTCCTCTTCCGCTGCTGCTGCTACACACGCCTGTGCCCCCACCTTCTCTTCTTTCCCTTCCTCTTCCGCTGCTGCTGCTACACACGCCTGTGCCCCACCTTCTCTTCTTTCCCTTCCTCTTCCGCTGCTGCCACCACACATGCCCGTGCCTCCACCCCTTCATCCACCACTTCCGCTTCTGCTGCTGCTGGTACACATGCTCTTGCCCCCACCTGCTCATCCTTTTCCTCTGCTTCCGCTGGTGCTGGTACACACGCTCCTGCCCCCACTTTCTCATCCTTCTCCTCTTCTTCCGCTGCTGCTGGCGTTACTAACATGCACGCCCATGCCCCCACCTTACTCACTTGCTTCCTTCGCACGTTCCTGCCCCCACTGTGCAGCCGCATGTCCGCATGTCCGCATGGCCACGCAGCGCCGCACAGGAGCGTTCCGGCTCCTGCTCCTCTTCCTCCTCCTCGTACAACCCCGCTTGCCCCTGACTTCTTTCTCCCAGCGCCTGCAGTTGGGCTCGTAACTGTTTGATCTGTTCCTCAATCTCCTCGGGTGATCTCCCTGCCTCCCTTACTTTCTCATAGCAGTTCCTTGCCTGATGCCCCTTTTTCCCACCTTTCTCATAGCTCGGTACATCTGGGCAGTCCCTTCGGCGGTGCCCAGGCTTTCTGCACACATCACAGTTCTTGCACTCCCTCCTGATATGCCCTTCCTGCCCGCACCTGTGGCACGTCCGTGTTTCTGCTTGCCACTCCTGCCACTGTTCCTCCTCACCCTCGTCCTCGGTTATCATCGCTGCAGCCCACCTGGGCCGCCCTTCCTCTGACACCCTTGGCAGGTACGCCTCGTACCGCCTCTGCGCCAGCTCCACTCTCTCTGCCAATTCAAACACCTCCTCTAGCGTTGCTTCCGCTCCCAACTCATACACTCTCATTCTCAGTCCCCCACTCAGTCCTTCATCTAACCCCCCCAGAAACTTGCTAATTAACATGCTGCTGTCCGTGCAGGCCACATCCTCAGCTAGATTGGCGAGCCTCCCAAAGTATGTGAGTAACGACTCCACCTTACCCCGCCTAAACTCCTGAAACTCTCGGATACGGTCGGCCGTGTGGCCCGGGAACTGTTTTCTCAGTCGCTCAAGGAACAGCGTCGTGGGATCATCTCCATCTTCCTCTGCCCGTCTCAGCCACTCCGGCAACTTCATTCGGTACAGCGTTTCAGCTTCGCCCCCCAACGTATTCGGCAGGCTTAAGAAAAACTCTTTCGGGTCCATCCCGCTTCTATCGCAGCGGTACTTCACAATTACGATCTGCATCAGGTAATTCTTTAGGTTGGTTCCGGAACCTGCTCCCCCCGTAAAGCGCACCGGCACCTCCACCTGAGGTGGGGCCTGCACATTCCACCTCCCCGTCTCCCAAGACCCTGAGATCTCATTCCTTCTGCTACTCTCTTCTCTCCTCTCCCTCGACTCCCTGCTCTTCGACGCTGTCCCATACAGTACTTGATAGATTCCTTCTCTGGCTGCCCTTGCTCCCCCAGCGCCTGCCCATGACTGCTGCTGCCTTCTCGGCCATGTCGGACTTGAGCTCCTTCCCCCTTCTCTCTCTTGAGCTTCCCCATATCTCTTCGATCCCCACCCTGATCTCTCCCTCTTTTCGGGGTAATATTCTTCCCAGCGCCCCTCCCTACGGCCCGACCCGTGGCGTGCAGGTCGGTCACGCTCTCCTTCCTCGTTCTCTGAGTCATTCGCAGGCATCATCTCCCGTCGCCTACTCTGCTTCTCTCCTCTCCTTTTCTGCACCTTGTCGTCTTGCTTCTCCCTCACCTCCACATTGTACTCCCTACGCCCCTCTTGCCTTCCCGTATACTCCTCCTTTCCTCCACCGGATGGTTTCTTCTCGCGCCGCTCCTGCTTCCTGCGTCGGCGCCGCTCCAGATTATACCCATCGTCCTCCTCTTCGCTATAGTCATGTTCCTTCTCTTCACGCAGCTCCTCACCACTCCTTCTCGTCTTCTCTCTCCCCTCCTTCCTCTCAAGGGACTCTCCTTCATCGCGTCTCCCTCGTCCGCCTGCTCCTCGGCGCCCATGATCCTCTCTTCTTCTTCCTTTGTCACTTCCCGGGTCCTTCCCAGGGGACACTCGCCGGCAGCGCTCTTCCTCACTCTTTGTCCTGTTTATCTTTCTCTCCTGCCTCCCCCTTGCCTCTCCGACAGGTTCCTGCACCAACCCTGCTCCCGCGCACGGATACTCTTCTATTTCTTCACGGCGCGCTCTCGCACCTGCACCCGTGACGTACTGCGACGAACACTCACTGCCCTTGACACGTGCTTCCCTCTCCTCCGTCCGCTGCCATGCAGGCGAGCGCTGCGCGCGCCTCCTATCGCGGTCGTCCTCACTTTCCTCTCCCCCCTGCTCTGGTGATTGCCATCCGCCCAATGCCATGCGCCTCCTGCGCTCATGTCCGCGTCTCGGCTCAGGCGAGCCATACACTCCCGCCTGCACGTCTCGCCTCCTTTCTTCCTCACGGCTGGCTTCAGGCGCGCGCTTAGCCTCCTTGCCTTCGCCGTGCCTTGCATTACTTCTGCGCAGCCTGGCTGGCGAGCGATCTGCATCTGCACCCCCGCGGCGCCTCGCATCATTCTCAGGCATTTCGCCCGCCGAACCGCCCGCATCCGCGCTCCCCTGGCGCCTCGCGCCATTCCCGCTCATTTCGCCTGTCGAACCTGCTGCAACCACGCTTCCGTGGCGCCTCGCGTCATTCTCAGGCATTTCGCCCGCCGAACCGTCAGCATCCGCGCTTCCACGGCGCCTCGCATCATTCCCACGTATTTCACCCGTCGAACCAGCTGCATCCGCGCTCTCGCGGCACCTCGAGCCATTCCCGCGCATTTCACCAGCAGAACGATCCGCATCCGCACTCCCGCGGCGACCTGCGCTACTCCCACGCACTTCGTCTGTCGAGCGGCTTGATCCCGTCGCCCTTCCGCGCTCTTCGCGTTTCTCTCCATGGCGCCTCTCGCCTCCCTCGTGCATGTCGTCCGGCGAGCGATCTGCTCCCGCGTCCTTTGGATCATCCTCCGTCGTCTCCTCGCCGTCGGCCTCGTTTGCCAACATCAGCCATCCCGTTTCGTCGGCATCTTCATGATGCCCTTCACCCGCGCCCCGCTGGCCTCTTGCCAGATCCCAGTGACCGCTTCTTGACGGCTGAGGCCTCGTCGCCAATCTCATCTGCAGATCGGTCTCACCTCCATCGCGCCGTCCGTCACCTGCTGCCATCCGATCCGCCCGATCCGCCTCTCTCTTAGGCGAGCGATCTGGCGATCGTTCCCGCTCCTGTGAGCGCATCCGTCGCGACGGCGGAATTTCCCTGACGCGAATACGTTCGCTGCCAGCGCAACTCGTGGCAGTCCATACTGCCAATTCTTTCTCTCGTTTGTGAGAGATTCTGGCTCCCACACGATGGCTGCCCTCAGTGGCCTAGTCACCTAGCTGCTGTAGCGTTAGAACGGCAACGTAAACCCACTATTTTAGGCAAACAAACGAGAGAACGAACTAAGCAGTGAGTTCCTAGTCTATTTGAATCTCTACCCCATGCCGCGCAGTTTCCCGTAACTCACATTGGGCTCCGCCCGCTAGGCTTTAGGATTGGCCTTTCAGATTGCCCAGGGCTCGCCCTTGAATTTGTCCCACCCTACGCCTCGCAAGTCCCTGAATCACCACTTTGCGTCAATCCCCACGCCCCAAACTCACCTTCTACAGTACTTCGAATAACCCAACTACACCTACACTAGCAAGTAACTGAATCTATTGCAAACAACAATACATTCTGTGACACATGACCCATAGTTTAGCTGCACATCCATCACTGCAAACCCCATCACAACCAGCACTGCTCCCCACCCCTTGAACTATATTCTTAAGTTCCCTACCATCACCACCTCACCTTGCCGGCCATGAGCCATCGCTCCCTGCCATCCTCCATGCGCCACGCCCCATAGTTGGGCAGCACATCCATCACCGCGAATCCCAGCAGGTCTGGCACCGGGCCCCCTGAGAGAGTTCCTACCTAGACTCTCCAGCATCTCACGGTCTCACCTTGCCAGCCATGAGCCATCGCTCCCTGCCATCGTCCATGCGCCATGCCCCGTAATTCGGCATCACGTCCATCACCGCAAACCCCAGCAGGTCCGGCACTGGTCCTCCTGTCACTCCCTGCTTCACCAGCGCGGCTGCCAGGTCCAGAGCTGCCGTGTGGAAGAGCACAGGGATGGGTTAAAGAGTTATGAGCTGTTGAAGAGGTAAGCGTTGGAGAAATATGAGCTGTTGAGCCTCATATCTCTGAGGGCGCTGTTGAGCTGTGTTTCATACGCCTGCCTCTCACTTACTCCCTGCGTCACCAGCGCTGCTGCCAGGTCCAGAGCTGCCGTTTGAAAGAAAAGAAGGCTGGTTTGAGTTGCATCAACTAAAGACTGGGAGCGAGGGGAGATGTGGGCAAGGTGGGATGTGGGCGAGGTGGGATGTGGGCGAGGTGGGATGTGGGCGAGGTGGGATGTGGGCGAGGTGGGATGTGGGCGAGGTGGGATGTGGGCGAGGTGGGATGTGGGCGAGGTGGGATGTGGGCAAGGTGGGATGGGAGAAGCGTATTATCGGGTAGGGCAGAAAGAAAGAAAGGAGGGTTACCTGCGAGAGTGAAGGGGAAGCTTCCCAGTGGTTGCTCGATCTGAAAGCACAGCAGGTGCAGAGGGCTCGTGGCAGGGCCTGATTGGCTGGGAGCAGATGAGGGGGTGGGGGGGAGGGGAGTGGTTACGGAGGGAGAGAGCAACGAGAGGGGAATGTTTTGAGTCGACTCAAAAGGTGTGTTTTGAGTCGACTCAAAACACGGTGGGGGGGAGGTGAGTGGTTACGGAGGGAGAGAGGAATGCTTAGGGTCAAAGAGAGAGGAATGTATAGGGCCAGAAATGCTTGTTCAGACTCTGTCTTCAGTATCTCAACCTGCATGTACCAACATCCGCATTAAATACAAAGGGCCGTTTGAGAGCAAAGAGAGGAAAAAACAACATCAATCTTCTTTCGAGAATTCACAGGAGAGATGTCAGTGGGAGGTAGGGACGGGACGGGCAGGGAGCGAAGGTGGTGGCAGGTAGGTGGGGATACAGAGGGTCGGGGGATACAAACTCTCAAGACGCCTCAACAACAGTAGAAGAATCTTGTTTCACGGGTTTCAATAGGCGCCGCAAAATGCAACAGGCAGAGGGATACGCACAGTTGAAGGTCCGATGATAGGGCTGACGGGGAGAAGATGGAGGAGGAGAGCGCAGCAGCAACCCGCTCAGGATGGCTGCAGGGAGGGAGAGGTGAGGGGAGAGAGGGCAAAGGCAGCTCGTATTCGCAGGCAGCAGGAAGCAGAGGCCTGGGCAACAGCGGCAGACGGTGAGAGGAACGAGGAAGTGCCTTTTGAGCTGACTCGAAAGAGGTAGGAGGGGAAAGGAGGGAGGGCACTCACAGGAGGGCAAAGGCAGCTAGTATTCGCAGGCAGCAAGCAGCAGAGGTGAGGGCGGTTGCAGCGGATGGTGAGTGAGAGGTGGAGGAGGAGGAAGGGGAGGATGAGGAGGAGGAATAGGGGGACGATGGGGCGGAGAGAGCAGGGTAGGAGAGTAGGCCGTCCAGTATAGCAGTGATGAGCGCAGTGGGGTCCAATCTGGGGGTTGCAGGGAGGAGAGGGAGGAGGAGAGGGAGAGCACAGAATGAGGCGCCTCAAAACAAGAGAAGAGAAGGAGAGTAGGCCATCCAGTATGGCTGTAATGAGAGCAGTAGGGTACAATCTGGGAATCACCTAGAGGAGGGGGAGGGAAAGCAGGGGGGAGCGAGTTTGACAGGCAGAATACTCACACAGGGAAGGAGGAGGAGGAACAGGAAGAGGAGGAGAACGGGAGTTTGATAGTAACGAGCTTCCTATACCGCACGTACGTCATGCCACGTGGCAGCACACATCACGTGATAGTAAAGAGCTTTCTATACTGCACATGCATGCAGCAGACACTTGATACCACACGTACGTCATGCCACGTGGCAGCAGCCCATTGGTCGATGCAGCAGCAACAAGGGGTGAGGAGTGGAGATGCAGGAGTGCCCCCACACAAGCCTGATGGGCAGGCAGAGAACGGGAGGAGGGGGGTATATGAGAATACGGGGGAGAGTGAAGGACGAGGACAGATGCGAGGAGGAGGACGAAACATAGGTGTGGTTTGGAATAGGTGTGGCTCGGCATGGGTGTGGCTCGGCATGGGTGTGGCTCGGCATGGGTGTGGCTCGGCATGGGTGTGGCTCGGCATGGGTGTGGCTCGGCATGGGTGTGCCTTACTCAAAAATGCGAGGCCAGCTGAACCGCGGAGAAGCGAAGCACAGAGAGAGAGAGATAGAGACTCACACGATAAGCCAAAAGGTCAAGGAATGGTGAAGGAATGGCAAAAGGTCAAGGAATGGTGAAGGAATGGCAAAAGGTCAAGGAATGGTGAAGGAATGGCAAAGGGTCAAGGAATGGTGAAGGAATGGCAAAAGGTCAAGGAATGGTGAAGGAATGGCAAAAGGTGACTTTTGAGTCGACTCAAAAGTGACTTTTGAGTCAACTCAAAAGGAATGGTGAAGGAATGGCAAAAGGTCAAGGAATGGCGGTAAGCGTACACCAGCAAGTTGGACAGCAGCGACAGCCCTGCTGACAGCTCCTCGGCTGCCTCCACCTCTCCCCCCAGCCCTGTTGTTAAAGTGCCCCAACAGGTGAAGAGGTGTTAACAGGAGTACCTGATTAGCCGATAGCAGGTTAGACAGCAGCGACAGCCCCACTGACAGCTCCTCGACTGCTTCCTCCTCTCCTCCCGGCCCTGCAGCGCTGGCGCTGATGTCAGATCCGCCAATGGCGGAATGCCACGTGGCAGTAGCAGAGGATGCGTCCTGGTCCTGCTGTGCGCGATGCACGAGGTGGAAGAGCAGGATGAGGAGCGCGCTCAAGGGGGCCTGGTGGGAGAAGGGGGGGAAGCGGAACAAGGGACATAAGGGGGAAGTGGGGAAGCAGAAAAGGGGGAAGAGCAGGATGAGGAGCGCGCTGGGGAACTGGTGGGGGAAGGGGGGAATGGCACGCAGAACAATAAGGTGAGATGGAAGACACGGGAGGGAGACACGGGAGGGAATTTGTTATGGGGGAAGGGGGAACGAGGAAGGGGTTTGTTGTGTCGTCCTGCTGTGCTCAGCGCACGAGATGGAAGAGCAAGGTGGGGAGCGCACTCAGAGGGACCTGGTGGGGGCAGGGAGGAGTGACAAACAAGCGAGGGAAAGGGGTGAAGGGGTGTGCTGTGTGGTCCTGCTGTGCACAGTGCACGCGATGGAAGAGCAAGGTGGGGAGCGCACTCAGAGGGACCTGGTGGGGGGAGGAAACATCGCAAGGGAAGGCGATGCGGGTGCAGTGCTAGAAAACGAGGGGAGACAAGACAACACTTTGAATGAATGTTCAAGAAACGTTATGCATGCTTTTTTTTTTAGTCGACTCAAAAAGTGTTGCATGCTCTTTTTGAGTCGACTAAAAAAGTGTTGCATGCTCAAGATACCGATCGGCCTGAATGCCCTTCCTCCCCACACTCCCCTCCCCTCCCCACCCTGCCCCGCTCCCTCCCGGCCACCGATCCCTTCCCCCATTGCTCACCTCGAAATGCACCAGTGCGAGTCCATCCCTCTCTCCCCCTTCCACCACCTCCCCCCGTGCCCCAGCCGACACCACCAGCCGCCCCCCACAGCGCGGCAACAACAGGGGCTGAGGGGCGGAGAGGGCGGAGAGGGAGGCACAGCACAGGCGCTCCTCCTCCCCTGCATTGCATTGCAGGACCGTCAGCCCCTCCCAAGTCCCTTTCCCCAATTCCTCACCTCGAAATGCACCAGTGCGAGTCCATCCTTCCCCCCCCCTCTCCCTACACCACCTCCACTCCCCAGCACCACCAGCCCCAGCCAAAGTCGCAGTAGCAGCCCAGCCCTTTCCTCCTGGCCTCCAACCTTCCCCCATTGCTCACCTCGAAATGCACGAGTGCGAGTCCATCCCTCCCTCCCCCTTCCACCACCTCCCCCCGCGCCCCAGTCGGCACCAGCAACCCCCCACAGCACGGCAGCAGCAGGGGCTGGGGGGCGGAGAGGGCGGAGAGGGAGGCACAGGCGGGCGGGAGGGGGAGGAAGAGGGCTGCTCCCATGGTGCTCTCGAGGAACTCAAAGCTGAGAAGGAGGGGAAGGGGGGAGAGGAGAGAGAGGCGGGGAAGGTAAGAGAGTGAGCTTCAGGAGAGGGCGTGTTTCAGAGGGGGGAGGAAGAGGGCTGCTCCCATGGTGCTCTTAAGGAACTCAAAGCTGAAATGCGGGAAAGGTGGGGGGGTGAGGGAGAGGGAGAGGGTTGAGGCACGGAAAAGGGGGTGGTTGAAGGCGGTAGACTTAAAGAGAGGGAGGCACGGGCAGGCGGCGGCGGGAGGAAGAGGGCCGCCCCCATGGTGCTCTTGAGAAATTCAAAGCTGACGGTGTAGCCATAGGCGGGATTGAGAGGCGAGCGGAAGGAACGGGGGGAGGAGGAGAGGAGGGAAGGAGGTGGGGAGGGGAAGATAGTGGGAGTGCGGAAACGTTTCTTTGAGGATAGTGAGAGTGCGGAAAGCATCAGCTGCCTCGAAGGCAGGTCAAATGGGCACTCCGAGGCCTGGTGGGAGAGCGCTGACGCTCTGATGAACATGCGAAGCGAGAGGACAGGAACTCACGTGCGGAGAATGGGCCTGGTGGGAGAGCGCTGAGGGTGGAGAGGGCCGAGAGGAGGAGAGCAGAAGACTGCGGATGAAAAGCAACAAGCATGACGCACGTGCAGCGAGCAGGTCAGGAGGCGTGGGAGAGGGCGGAGAGGAGGAGAGAAGGAAGAGAGGAAGCAACTCACGTGCAGCGGGCGGGCCAGGAGCCATGGGAGAGGGCGGAGAGGAGGCGCAGGAAGGGGAGGGGGCGGGCGGGGAAGTCGCGTCTGGTGGCAGCTAGGAGCGAGCGCAGAGGTGCGTCGGAGGGAGAGGCAGAGGCGTCCCAAAAGTCAGTGCATAGCGACTCCTGTTTGGATAAGACGGGGTGAGACAGGGTGAGAAGAGGTGAGAACGGGTGGGAAGTGGTGGTGAGAGGTGATGAGAAGAATCCAAAGGTTTATATGTGTGAGTGATAACAGCATTGTTGTGGGTGAAATGGGGACAACAAGAGGGGCATCAAAGGGAGAGGCAGGGGTGTCCCAGAAGTGGGGCGGAACGGGGGTGAAGACAGGGCGGGGGTTATAAGATACCTTTAAAAGAGCTGAGAGGGATCTGGGTGAGAGGCAGAGATGTGTGTGGTGCGGTGACACGGCAGTGCACAGCAGTAAGATGGTGTTGGAACAGGTGGTCACATGCCACGTGGTGCATCTGGTGCCATGCGGTGCTGTGCGGTACCACACGGTGACAAGGCACTGACCTGCTCTGAAAAGGTGCGGCAGATGATCTCCAGAAGAAGGGCATATAGCCGAGTGCCCTTCTGAAAAGGGGGTAAAATGGCATCAACAAGATGAGAGAGGGTTGTGAGAAAGTGACATGAAGAGCCAATGGGAGCAGTACATACATATCAATAGGTGAATATGGTTAAACATAAAAGTTCTGGGTGTAGCTGACCTGGTTGGAAATGTCAAAGGCAGTGAGGTAGGCAGTGCACAGCCCCTTGACGCATCTCTTCACCACGCCCTGCATAACCTGCTCCCACCCCACACATACACACACACCACCACCCAGGTCAGCACAGGGAAAGACATACAGAAGGAGGGACAACGGCAGGACAGAAAAAAACTTATGAGACGCCTCAAAAGGCAGTGAGGTAGGCAGTGCACGGCCCCTTGACGCATCTCCTCACCACAGCTTGCATCACCTGCTCGCACACACACCACAAAGGGACGGCAAGGGTGGGTGGGGGGGACAGACGTCTCAAAAGGCAGGGAGGTAGGAGGCCCAGAAAGTAAGCACCTTTTCAAGAGATAACTATTAGAATGGTGACCTTGAAAGGAGTTGACTGCTGAGAAGTGGACTGAGGGTGCTGAATGTTAAGAAGTTGAATACAAGCAAGTTGCTCACAAAAAAAAACATCTAAACAAGAAGATTGACTCACAGGGTCGTTGGAAGGGTGGGAGGGGAGGGAGGAGGAGAGCAGCGAAGAGAGAATCCAGTCCAGTGCCCCTGCTGCATAGGCTGCTTGCACACACACCCCCGGGTTTAACGCGGGTGCCTGCAATGTTGTGGGAATGGGAGCAGAGGGGGGAAGAGGGAGGGACAAGCAGACAGGTGGAGTCAAGGTGGCGGGTGTAGTGGGGAGGAGGGGAGAGGAGAGCAGCGAGGAGAAAATCCAGTCGAGCGCCCCTCCCCTGCTGCATAGGCTGCTTGCACACACACACCCGGGTCCAGCGTGGGTGCCTGCAGTGTTGGCATGGCACAGAGGAGAAGAGAGGGGAGGAGATGGGAGAGGCAAGCCGGCAGGCAGCATCGCAAGATCCTACAAAGAATTCTGACGAATGAGTAGTGGTTGGAATGACCAGAGATTGGTTGGAAGGCAATCGAGAAGATTAGATTATTAAGGACTGGCGCCTCAAGAATCATCTGAAGAGTGAGTCCCTGGTCCCTAACCACGGAGACTGGTTGGGGACCATGGAGATTGCTTGGAAGGCAATTTACATGCGTGGCTGTGTGCAACGTGAGTGAGGGGCACGTGTTACCTGCAGCTGAAAGGAGACCTATAGCTTGTCAGGCAGGCCTATTGTACTGACCGACTGACACTACCAGGCAGCTGAAAACATTCTCCCGTGATGATTGCAACATCAATCAGGTTACTAGCAGCTGAGGCGACGAGTACTATAGCTGGAATACCCCTACGTCTCCTGTGTATTACCGTACCGGCAGGTGAGAGGAATCCGGCAGCCACTGCAGCAGCATGCGAATGAGACCCCACGCGAGCAGCACAGAAGAAACATCCGACCCAGCACCGGCACCGGCACCCGCACTGGCAGCCCCCCCCACCAGCGGCAGCACTGCATCCAACCCAATGAGCCTTCCTCCCCCTCCTCCTCCATACACCTCCTCCAAATCCTCCTCTGCCAGTCCCCCCACTCCGCCATCCAGCTCCTCGCTTTGGCCTCTACCACCCGCCCCCTTGGCTGCAGCGGCAGCAGCAGAGAGCAGGCAGGAGAGCCACGCAGAGAGGCGCTGATCCACTTCCGAGAGGGCGGAGGGGGACGAGAGGGGGTGTTGAGAGGCGCTGTGGGTGGGAGTGGGCCAAGAACATGGGGGGAGAGGAGGCGAACACATGAGAAGGCACACATGAGTTAACGTTCTCTCCCTTGGCGGCAGCAGGAGCAGCAGAGAAAAGGCAGGAGACTGAGAACGTACCTAAAATGCATCCCTTGCGCCAGGGCCACAACCACCCCTTCCACGTCCACAGCTGCAATTAGCAGGAGCACAGCGCGGTGCAGTGCGGTGGAGAGGAGTGACTCTGCCGCTGCACTAATGGCTAGAGAGGCGAGAGATACGGAGGGGGAGGAGGGCGAGGAGGAGGAGGAGGGAGGGGTGGAGTATGGAGATGAGGAGAGGGGCGGTGGAGATGGAGTGAAGCCAAAGAAAAGCTCCTGGTAGGGGCCAGAAGGGTCAGCAAGGGGTTAAAAGGGGTTGGCAAGGGGTGAGAAGGGGTTGGCAAGGGGTGAGAAGAGGTTGGCAAGGGGTCAGAAGGGGTCGGCAAGGGGTGAGAAGGGGTCAGGTAAGAGGACGGGAAAGTGGAAGGGAATTTCCCGTTTTGGATTATTCGGGGTTAAACATCACTTAAAAAGTGGGCATTGAGAGAGAGAATGGAAGGAGCGAAGGAGGGAACAAGAGGTGGAAAGAAAGAGGGAGAACGGAAAAGGAGAGAATGAAAAAAGTGAATTGAAAGAGAGTGTGCCGAACCAATCGAGATTGAAATCGATGGTAGGACTGAATCAAGGATGGGCACCTGAACGAGATTGATTATATCCGGGATGTCTGTAGCACGGCAGCCATTAGAGGAGGCGATGAGGATGAGGATGTCTAGAAGCAAGCATGCTTCTAACGAGGATGCTTCTGCCCATCCTGCCATTCCTGCCCGATCCTGACGAAAAAAGGAAGAAGCCAAAAGCATGGGAGTTAGATCAAGACGGTAAGCTGAAAAACAGCTTGAAAGATGGATTTCAATCAGTAGGCCTTGAAAGTAGGAAACATCGGTTGCGGTCCTCAAGTCCTTTGGGAGAGTTCATACTTGTTTCAGATTTAGAGCCTAGAATTATGAGGTATGAAGTCGTCATCATACAACCAGCAAACAGCAACAAACAGCAACAAACAGCAGGTTGCTCATCCACGTTGCTCATCCACGTTGCTCATGACATCATGTCAGCATCACAGCAGCACGTACCAGGGCCTTGGGGGGGTCAGAGCGTGGGAGCAACCTCAGCTGAGCCATGACGTTTGACAGCAACCCCTCGTTCAGCAGGGCGCTCACCTCCTCCTCCATGGCAGCTGCATACGGGGAGGAGGAATCAGCTGGGGATAGTCAACCACGGAGGCAGGGTAGGGAGGAGAAGTTGGGGTCCGGATGAGTTTCACAGCATGCTCTCATGCCCTGCAACGATGAATTCTGAGTGAGAAGCAAACACCATGATGAGAAGCATCATACTCTAAAAGTAGCATCAATGAGTGAGAAGCACCATGCTGCCAATACGGCAGCATCTTGCTGCAAAAGCACGGCACCAGGCAGGCACCTTGCATGGCTAGCAGAAGCCGCAGGCATTTGAGCAGGCTCTGCCTCTCCTCCTGATACAGCGCCACAATCTGCACGCGTTCGGTTCAGAGCAAGCATGTGAATGGAGGAAAGGAGAAACTGATGATTCTTCGTAAGAAGTCTCACAAGCCCTCTTGATACAAGGCCACAACGTACACACACGCAGAGTGCTGTGCATGCGGGCTGTGGATCCGCTACAAGAACTGTGACGGAGAGTGGGAGGAACAGCAAGGGAATCTGTGTCACGCAGCATAAACTGTGAAGCAGTGCCTTACATTCCAAGAAGCATGTCACATATGATCACATGCAAATCCACAAGAAGCAAGGCACGTACTTGAGCACCCATCACACACACACACACACACACACACACACACACACACACACACACACCCACACACACACACACCCACCCACACACACACACACACACACACATACCTCTTGCACCGATCTCCGCTGCTCTTCCTTCTCCTCCAACCCCTTTTTCTTCTCTCCTCCGCCCCCTCCTGCTCCCTTCCCTGCGCCCTCCCCCTCCGCCTCCCCCACCGACGCCCTCTCCCCTCCCGCCACCCTATCCGCCAACAGATATGCTTGCGTCTCATCCAACCCCTGTGAACACACATATAAACAACACACACACACACATGCATTGACATGAAAGTTCTGAGACGATTCAATCAGCCAGCGCCCTCTCCCCTCCCCCCACTCTATCCGCCAAAGTGTATGCTTCTCTTGGACTCCCCACACAGTGACGGGATGGTCACTGCTTTATAACCCTCTATACATCCTTACAACCCGATTCCTTCCCGTTCCCACTTACAATCACAGCGCTTGCAGTCACAGCCGCTTCCCTTAGCCGTCCAACCACTGGGATCGTCACTTGCGAAGCGCCAGCTGCTCCCCCCACCCCCACCTCCAGACGAGCCGCGCCAATGGCGTCGCGGGATCGGCTGCTGGGAGGCTTGAAGCGCGCCAAGCCGTGCAGCAGCCACGCGTGATGCTCTGATAGGCTTTTGGCCTGCGAGAGACGGATCAGGGAGGGGAGAGATGGGGAAGAGGTGCTAGAAATTGAAGTGTAAAGGCCTGATTCCAAGCTATGAAGGCTGGTCTCGGGTAATGCAGGTCTCGTGAGAACCAGGACGCTAAATCTGAAAGTGAAGCGTCAGATTCAAGGTGCCTGGACTACAAGAGAGTCAGACAGACTTAATGTCAAGATTGAGTGAGGGATCTGATTGCGTCAGACTACAATCAGAGGCTCCAATAGCGTGTATCGACTCTGATTGTGAGACTCACACGATGAGAGAGATAACGTACGAACCAAACGCGGTAGTCAGTCTCCGTCAGTCTCCGTCGGGCCTGTGTCCGACGCGCTTTGCACTCGACCTTTGCACTGGACCCTGCTGGTTACAGAGCTTGTTACGAACTTTGCTCACTCTCGTAACACGTACCAGCTCGCGACCATCGTCCTCGCCATTGTCACTCCCTCCACTGTCAATCGCCTCGAGTCGCGCCAGCAAGGCACGATGTGGAGACCACCATAGATCCGCGTCGACTTTCGACGACGACGCTCTATTGATCGCCGCTGCCACGCTGGCCATGACACGTGTCAAGCTATGACCTGGCGATGTGACGCGATCGCGAGGCGCGCGAACGGACAAACGAGTCGGACTTTTCAATCTCGGACTTCCCGTCGCTAACGTAGCACTCTAAGCAGAGTGCTGGTTCAAATCGAGCTAGGTCGTAGGGAAAGAACTCCGCGAGGAGAGGTCGCTGCGAGAAGGATACTATAGCATTGAAAAGGTAGAGCGTTCCGATGACTTTGCAAACAGAATCAATGGTTTCGCAAAAAGCGCGACGGCAAAGCATCGGTAGTTTTTCTAATCGTTGATTCCTGCTTAGCTCGTGCGGGGATCACGGCGCAACTGAAGCATTGACGATCACTGATTACCAGAGAGTGTCATGTACTTCTAGCTCAAAACCGTACTCAACCGTCTTGTAAGCTATCAAGACGTTCTGATATATACGATTATCACAGCCAACCGCATTTTAGTTACACGTTCAGCTGCAGAAAAGGTAGAGCGAACTCCAAGGCCAGGACAGTCTCAAGCCAGTGCTTGAAATCAAGAATCCCGCTAGTGTCAGATGTCAGAGTCTACAGTACACCGCATGAAGTATCTACGGTATCCGCTAAGAAACTCGATCATACTTGAAATACTTTCCCCATAATCGAACCACCCGTAACATCCTCCTCCGGAACCGATTCCTACCACTCCAACTCATTTTTGCAATTCTCCCTTCCCCATTCGCCCCGAAAACCCGCCCCAACCTCCCCACTTTCCACACCCCGCTTCACAACCTCCCCGCTTTCCATTTGCAGTTCCGCTTCCTGCGCACCCCCACCTTCGTTCCCCTTTCTCCCCATGCTCTTCCCCCCCCGTGTGCTGCCCGCGCACGCCCAACCTCCCCTCCCCTTCAAATCCCCTCTCACTTTTCCTCTTACCTCTTTCTCCCTCGCCTCTTCTCACTACGCCCTAGAACCTTACCTCACCCACGAGGGTGTAGGAGCCTCTTGACACGTCAGCGGCAGCCATCGTCGGCGTAGCACGCACGAAACCCTAGCACCATGGGCGAGCGCTTCACATACCGCCGCAGGCACCCCTATGCCACACGCTCGAACCTCCGCCGCACCATCCGCACCCCAGGCACGATCCTTTTCTCACCTTACCTTTTCTTCGGAAACCCTAATTACCTCCTGTTCGTTCCGTTTTAGATCGTTCCGCGCATGCCACGCTTGCGTCGCAGTATCTATGTGTCGGCATCTTGCGGACTCCTTATAAGCGCACGCTGTATGCAGTAGACTTGAAATTTTTCTTCCTGGCTGACTGCGCTTTCCCTTGCGTCTGATCATGGATCGTATCTTCACCTCGCATCCGGCATGTAGATAGCCTGGCGCGTGAAACGAATATTGCACCACCCATATCCCTCGCTTATCCCCTGATCGAGGAATCTTGGGACGCCGAGAAAGCGTTCATATTCTCCTGCTTATCTCCCTCTCAATCGTTGTGTTCCGCCCATGTTACATCTGCCCATGTTGGTCCCGCTCTGTTGCTGCGCGTTGACTGGAGCAGGAGGCAAGCTCACAATCCAGTACATCGCCAAGAGAGCCAATGGCGTCAAGTGCGGCAAGTGCCCGCGCATCCTCCCTGGTGTAAGTCCCGCTACTATTACAGCCGCTCTATTCTTTTCCCTTCAACAGTCAACTTTATCACGTTTAATATCGCGCGACATGGTCAAGTCCCGCTGCCCGCGCGCGCGCTTATGTGTCGCACGGCGTTCTGCAGCGCGTCTGACTGTCTCGTTCCCGTTCGCGTTCCCCCATGCGCGCAGGTCCCCGCGCTCCCCGCGCACAAGCTCACGCGCAACCTGATGTCGCGCAAGCAGAAGAGCGTCACGCGCATCTACGGCGGCGCCATCTGCGGGAAATGCGTGCGCGAGAGGTGAGGCGCGGGGAGCAAGGTGGGAAAGAGGGAGAGAAGGCGGGAGAGGAGGGGAGCGAATGGGAGGGGGAGGAGGGAAATGGAAGGGGGTCGCACGGGGTAAGACGGAAGGGGATAGACGCGGGATGCGCGGTGCGCGGGGTGCTAGAAATGATGCGGGTGAAAGAGGCGCCAGATCGCGGGAGGTAGAATGCATAAGGATGCAAAAGGCGGCGGAGGGGAATGGAAGGGATCAGATAGGGGGAATCGGAAGGATGGCGGAAGCAGAATGAAGGGGAGAGGAAGGGGGAAGCGTGAGGGGATGGGGGGAGGAAGGGGTGACGAAGAGATGCTTGTACGCGGAAGCTGATGCAAGGGGAAAAGCATGTTCACGTCTATAGCACTCCTTTGCCGCGTTTGCTCATTGCCTCATTTTCTCGTCACCCGTTCTCCGTCAAAGTCGTTCTGCCCTGAGCCCACGTTCTGTCCTTTCACTTACGCCCCTCCGCCCCCATCCCCCACCTCCTCGATTCCCCCCTGCCGCATTCCCCGTCCCCTGGTCCCCGTCCGCCGTTTCCCGCTCTCCCCTTCACCAATCATTCTCCTCTGCCCATCACCACTCTTGCGACTCCTCTGCCCATCCATTACCCGTTCACCGTTCTCTCCGCTTCCCTCGCTGCATCCCCGTGCACAGAATCATCCGCGCATTCCTGGTGGAGGAGCAGAAACATGTGAAGAATGAACTTCTGAGTCACTTTCTAACCCTAACACCTTCCTTCTTTGCATTGCTCCTCTATCTCCTTGCACAGAATCATCCGCGCATTCCTGGTGGAGGAGCAGAAGATCGTAAAGAAGGTGCTCAAGCTGCAGAAGTCCAAGGAGAAAATTGCATCCAAGGTTCCCGCTTAAACTGCTCAGCTGAATGAAACTGCACACACCGTGGAAACCACTTGAACTGCCTATGTTTCTGAACTGCCTGAACGGGTTTGAAGTGCCTGAGCTGCCTGAATCACCACCACAGGGTTAAGCTCCTGCAACAGGCGCATAGGGACACAGTGGGATGCTGCAGGGAATGTTAGGCAGGAATTTTGGTTTTGTTGGTGCGCTAATGTCCATTGTTCATTGGATGTATGGTTAGTAAGCAAGTATGGTTTACGCCACTGTCCCGCCTCAGCTATTGGCTTTGCTTAGTATTTTTACTAAGGAAACCACCTTGCTTGCTTGCTTCCAACCTACCGTACAGGTCACAGAGAGACCAAGTGTGATGGAATTCCTGAGGGGATCAGCAGCAAGCAAGCTCACTGCACTGCTAAAAATAACGATCACCAAGACTGGTCCGGAATTTTTTTCTGGTCCATTAAATTTACTCAATAAAGTTGAAACAGCAAAACCAAACTTCAAATTAAAAGAAGAAAGAAAGTCGTACAGAGAAGATCTGAAGTCCACCTAAAATTCCCACATATCAGCTCCAGAAACTTCTAGAATGTAAAGTTTTCAAGTGAAATCTTCTATACTGGAACTTGGATCTTGGACTCTTGAACTTCGATCCTTCAAATTTGGACCTTAGTCTTCGGTCTTCACATGGACTCCTCTTGGCCGCTAGAGGACAAGCCTCTAGCGTTCACCCTAACACCACGATGAGGTGGAGGTCCTTCGATAGGGAACCTGCAAGAAAAAATACTAGAACAAAGAGGAGGGACGGTTAGTAGGATTAATGTAAATGCCAGCGGGCAGGGAACACCTCTGAGCTTGTTGTCAGGTTGTCAGGTTGCCGTGGTGAGCCACAAAAAGTGGCGGGAGAAAAGAGGAGGAGGAAACCCAACCGACCCCGTCACGTCGCGTCCCCATCGCCTACCCACCCAGTCGCCTCGCGTCCCCATCGCCTAACCACCCAGCCCACACCGCCCTCGTCTGTCCAGTCGGTGGCTGATCTAACGCTCCTACGATCTGATCTAACGCTCCTAGGATCTGATCTAACGCTCCTACGATCTGATCTAACGCTCCTAAACGGCCCGCCGGTGACCATGTGCTGCTGTTGCAGTTGTCGCTCCACCTTCTGAGAAAGGGAAGGAGGGGAAGCGGGGAGTCAAGCTCCTCGCTGCTCCTTGATCCTCGTTGCTCCTTGCTTCTCCTTGTTGGTACTCGTTCGATCCTCGCTTTGTGCTGCTCCTTAGCTCACGACTTCCTGCGGGGAGAACGACTTAAAAAGACGTTAGTACGTCTTAAAACAAAGCCATCGTGAAACGAACAAGCGGAATAATAATAAAGCTGAAAGAAACGATGACGAAGCCGAGAAATAAAAACGTGTGAGAGAGGTCCGCCGCGAGATTCCTTGCTCCATGCTCCTCCAGCTTCAAGTCGAAGTCTTCTCTCCTCGTTCTTCGGTCTTCACCTTCGTTGTTCCGTCTGTCTAACACGCACAAGGAGAAAAGGAAAGACGTGAGTGAATCGGATAAACAGAAACACTAAAAATGGACAAAACTTACCAAGGCGAAGTCTTGTCTCGTTGGTCGGTCTTCATCTTCGTTGGTTGCTCCGCCTGCCTAACACGCACAAAGTGAGAACGAAAGACGTAAGTAAATCGGATAAATAAATACACCAAAAGTGGACGACACTTACCAAGGTGAAGTCGTACGTGTGCTCCTCGCTCCACCCGCTTCGCACACCACCAGCGCGACTCCTCCTGGATTCCTCCTGCTGAACGCACCAAGAATAAACGAAGTAAGTAAGGGATGTCGAAAAGGTTAAGAATAAGAAAAGAGCAGGCTAAAAATCGATAAAGCTGAAAAAAAACTGAAAGAAACGATGACGAATAAGAAATAAAACCGTGCGCCGTGCGTCGTGTCAGAACATATAGCTTACTTGTTTCTGTAGGCTATAGTGGGGTATCCCATAGGGGGTACAACCCAATTAGGGTTTCCTATTTGTACCCACTTCATTTCATAGTCATTCACTCCCGTTCATTCAGTTTCACATGGTATAGAGCGGGTCCCTTCTAAGGACCGTTTTTTTTTGGGCCCACCCACGATCTTTTTTTTTCCTGCCCGGAGGGCGCCCTATTCTCCTCGAGGCGCGCTCCCCCTAGTGCGCGTCGAGCTGCCCTTGTGGCGCCCCGAGAGTCGCGCGCGCGACTCATTTTTTTCGCGCGCGCGGCCCGGGCCCCACTTCGCGCGGCCCTTACAGCCGCGCCGCGCCGCCCTCTCGGCTCTGCCGCGCCGCGCCGCCCTCAAGACGGCCGCGCGGCCTCTTCGTCGCTACGGCAGGCCCCCCCCCCCCCCCCCCCGCTGCACCTCTGTCGGCCCCGCCGCCGCCTTACCTGACGGCCGCCGCCTCACCTGACGGCCCGCCGCCTCGCCCTCTGGCCCGCCACCTCACCAGACGGCCCTGCCGCCTCACCTGACGGCCCACCGTCTCACCTGCTGGCCCGCCACCTTACCTGACGGCCCCGCCGCCTCACCTGACGGCCCGCCGCCACCTTACCTGACGGCCCCGCCGCCTAACCTGACGGCCCGCCGCCTCACCTACTGGCCCGCCACCTGACCTGACGGCCCCGCCGCCTCACCTGACGGCCCGCCGCCTGACCTGCTGGCCCGCCACCTCGCTGACGGCCCGCCGCCTCCCCCGCTGGCCCGCCACCTGATCTGACGGCCCCGCCGCCTCACCTGACGGCTCGCCGCCTCACCTGCTGGCCCGCCACCTGACCTGACGGCCCCGCCGCCTCACCTACCGGCTCGCCACCTCACCTGCTGGCCCGCTGCACCCTGACCGCCCCACCGTCCCCTGTCCCGGCCCCGCCGCTGCACCCTGACGGCCCCGCCGTCCCCTGTCCCGGCCCCGCCGCTGCACCCTGACGGCCCCGCCGTCCCTTGTCCCGGCCCCGCCACTACACTGCAGCCGAGCCGCCCAGCAGCAGCCGAGCCGCTCAGCAGCAGCCGAGCCGCCCAGCAGCAGCCGAGCCGCCCAGCAGCAGCCGAGCCGCCCAGCAGCAGCCGAGCCGCCCGGTACCCGAGCCGCCCGAGCCGCCCGAGCCGCCCGAGCCGCCCGAGCCGCCCGAGCCGCCCGAGCCGCCCGAGCCGCCCCACCAGCCCGAGCCGCCTGCTGCTGTCCTACCCGACTCTCCTAGCCCGGTGAGACTTTCAGCTGCTGCCATGGCCACCCCCAATGTTCTTACTTTTGACGCTAAGGGGAGGGCCATTGACTTTGCCGTCTGGATTGAAGACCTGCAGCTGTACTTACTGTGTGATGCGATAGATGAGGTCTCTCTCTTTGACTTTGTCTCTGGCGCTGTCCCTGCCCCGCCTGCTGATGCTGACTCTGCTGCTCGCTCCAAGTGGGCGACCCGCGATGCTGCTGCACGTCTTGCTGTGCGTCGCCACCTCCCTTCCTCTGAGCGTGCCCACTTTAGTCAGTGCAAGACCGCTCAGGCCTTGTACGACGCTGTAGTTGCACGCTACTCCTCCCCTTCCTCCGCTACCCTTAGCCGCCTCATGCTACCGTTTCTCTTCCCTGACCTCGCTTCCTTTCCCACTGTTGCTGACCTAGTTACCCACCTCCGCGCTAGTGACACCCGCTACCGTGCTGCCCTTCCTGCTGAGTTCCGCGCTGCGAACCCTCCTCCCATGTACATCACTCTCTACTTTCTCGTCACCCGTCTCCCTGAGTCCCTTCGTGTCGTTAGGGACCAGTTTCTCTCTGTCTGTCCCACCACTCTCACTGTCGACCTCCTTGAGGAGTCCCTGCTAGCGGCTGAGAAGAGTATTGTCGCTGTAGGGGCCTCTCGGGGTGACCCTCGCACCCCCATCTTTGAGGGGTGTGGTCCTTCCCCCCTGCTGCCCTCTGTCGCCTCTGCCGCTGCGGCCGACCTCGCTGGTTTTGAGTCGATCGGCGCGGCGTCTGCCCCCAGCGGCAGACGCCGCTCTGGCAAGGGCAAGGGGGGCAAGGGGGCGGGTGGAGCTAGAGGGGGCGGTGGAGGAGGCGGTGGGGGTGGAGGGGGGAGTGGGGGTGGCGGTGGGGGTGGTGGCGGGAGTGGAGGTACTAGTGGCGGCGGTGGAGGCGGAGGTGGCGGCGGAGGTGGTAGCGGAGGAGGCGGTGGGAGCGGTGGGAGCGACGGTCCTGGTGGGGGAGGTGGCGGTGGAGACGGGGGTGGCGGTGGAGGCGGGGGTGGCGGTGGAGGCGGGGGTCGGAGTGGCTCGTCCCAGCGGAGCAGCTCTGGGGGTGGTCAGCGCCAGCAGCAGCAGCAGCAGCAGCAGCAGCAGCAGCCGCAGCAGCAGCAGCAGCGCTCTCGCACCGTCCCCGGCCCTCAGCAGCTCCGTGAGTGGTACTTGCAGCGTCAGCGCGGTGGTGCGCTTGGTCCCTGCCCCTACGTTCTTCGCACCGGTGACCGTGCGGGGGAGAGGTGTGGAGGCGCCCACACAGCCCGTCGCTGCTTTGGCCGCCTGACCGACGCCTGGCGTCAGCAGTTTCCGGAGGCCGCTGAGATCCCCCGCTGGGGAGAGCTGTCTAGGGCTGGAGTAGCTATTTATGATCTTGACTTTGATGCTATTCTCTCTGCTATGTATGCTGTGACTGGTAGTGATGAGGATGACTGTTACCGGTGTTTCCCGCCCGACCCGGGCATTGGTACTGCCGCGTCAGGTACTAGTGAGGCTGCAGCTCTAGGTGCCAGTGCGTCTGTGCTCTCAGGTGCTGGTGAGTCCGCCCTCTCAGGTACTGTGTCGGCTTCGGCCTCTCACACCTTCACCCTTGACTCTGGAGCGTCTCGCTCCTTCTTTAGGGACCGCACCACTCTCACGCCGCTGAGTCGGCCGGTTGCGGTGTCCCTGGCTGACCCCTCTGGGGGACCTGTCCTGTCTCGCTTCTCCACTGTCCTCCCGTGTCCAGCGGCCCCCTCTGGCACCCTGACTGGTCTC